TATAGTGTCATGGCCTGGAGACACACCTTCCTTTCCAAATGAACCTAATGTAAATCATAAAGATGGTGGACCACAAGGAGATGAAGTAGAAAAAAAGGGAGAAGGAGAAAGGGAAATAGAGGAAAGGGAAGCACAACCTGCTCATACATGTGGTGATGGGGAAGGAGACCACGTGGAGGATGACCAGCCTATTCATGATGATGTTGCTTTAGAAGATGCATGAACACTTTGTTTTTTCTTTATTTCCTTTTTAAAGTTTAGGATTTAGTTTATGTTTGGAGTTAGTTCACATTGTAAAGTTTCAAGGACCTATTTAGTTTATTGCAGTTAAATCATGGAATTTTACTTTATTTATAAATATCTAAATTTATCTCAATTTGATTCTTTTTTATAATTTGTTTGACTTGTTTACTAAATAAACCCAACAAATTATCTTATAAATTAAAAGTTGTTGTATCTTAATCATTTTATTTTTTTGCCAAAAAAAATTATGCAAAGGACAAAAGTATTTTGTTTTCAGAAGTGATGTATCCATGTCTGTCAATTTAAGTTGTTATTTTTCAATTTTCTTGCATATTTGCTTAAGCCCCCAATACTCGCTTAAGCTACATCGTATTCGCTTAAAGCTAGTATTGGTTTGCTTAAGTCATTCTGTAATAATTTAAGCTAGTTTATCAGTTCAAAAGAGCATTCTCTCTGCATTATATTTATGCAATTTTCGCTCAAGCTAAAGCATATTCGCGCTGAAGCTATTGGTTCATTCGCTTAAGTCAAGCCATGCACGATTATGCAAAAGTGTAATCCTTGAAGGTGTGCTCTCTATTTTTTTTAGGCTTAAGTCATTAAGGTATTGCTTAAGCTCATCATTTACTCGCTTAAGCCTTACAAATGTACGCTTAAACCCACAACTCACCAACTTAAGCCAAATCAAGCACACTTAAGCCAATTTGTAATCTTGGGAGGTAGGCTCTCTGTTATTTTTAGCTGAAGTGCGCACATTTTAGTGTAAGCATATCAGGCACTCGCCTTAGTTCATTATCTCGCTCCATGCATGTATTACTCGCTTAAGCCTTCATGCGCTTAAGATAGTGCATATGGGCTTAAGAAAAAATTGTAAAAATCGTTTAAGTTTTGTCAAATTGGCTTAAGCGAACATTTAAACATACGTGCAGTTCTTACATCAACTGCACTGGATCTATATCTCATTTTCTATGAATTTGAATAAAAAGTGAATCTTGTAACCTGATCTGTCGATGCTCTTTGTTTGCAATAAGTTAGTCCAAATGTACGAGAGAGACTGTGATACTGACTATAAATACTTTTTTTTTTCTTTTTTAATTTTGTTTTATAAAATAAATTTAAAACATTTTTTTAATAAAATATAAGAGAAATGTTTAATAGTACGAATGAACCACATACACATGTGATCAGTGATAAAAACTATGTTTAATGAATGCAACATGATTCTTGTTCAAATTTTTTTATTTAATTTTTAACCGATAAAAAATTAGAAGTATAATTTATACACAATTCATACAGGAAACTTTCGTGTTACATAGCATAACTAAAAACAATCATAAAAAAGTTTGAAAAATTATCATCTCATTTCATCATCTAAAAAAAATGTATTGGCCTTTTTAAACATCTTAAATTTTTGGTTATTAAGTTTTTAAAAGCACAATTTCAAAACTTGTCTTTAAAACGGCTTATTTATTTTTTTAATGTTTTTTAAAAAATAAATTCTTAAAATAATATTTTTTAAAAACAAATTCTTTGTCTGGGGTCTTTTTTGCCACGTCAAGACATGTTTCGCATACTGTTTCAACGAAATATTTTTTTTTATTTTTTAAATGCTATTTAGCAGAGAGAAACTATCAGACTGCGCCATCTGTCATCATCTAGTGAGTTTCGCCTACTGCAGAGACGAAACTCAAAGAATGGTGCCATGTGTCATGATCTGGACCAATTTACGAAAGTGGTTAAAAAAAATTTATATTTTAATATTTAATTAAAATTTATTAAAAATAGAAAATTATAAAATTTAAGAATAAAAAAATTATATAATTTTTAATTAACTTAATTAATAATTACAAATATATTAAAAATGTAAATTAAAATTACACTATGTATACTGTATGATGTAAAAAAAAAAAAACCTGCTAATAAAATTATAAATTTAAAAGCAATTGTTTTAAAGTGAGTTACTTTTTTTTTTTTATTCAAACTAGTTTGTAAGTTAGGTGTGATATTTAAAAATCTTAATAATTTATATAATAAATATGTATTTTTTATAATTTTTTATAGTTATTTTTTTCTTAAATTAAATATGTTTATAATTATATCAATGAGGCTGATTTATTATTTTAATATTTTTTAAAAAATAAATTCTTAAAATAGTAATTTTTAAAAATATATTTTTTATCTGGAATCTTTTTTGTCACGTCATTCATCCATTGTCTCGACGAAACATATTTAATTAAAAAAAAGAAAAAAATTAAATATTTAATTAAAATATATTAAAAATAAAAAAAATCATAATATTTAATTTAAGAATAAATTATTAAAATTTAGATAATTTTTAATAAAGTTAATTAATAATTATAAATATATTAAAAAAATATAGTGTTAAGAATTTGTTAATCTTAGTTTAAATAACTATAGAAAATTATAAAAAATACATATTTATTATATAAATTATTAAGATTTTTAAATATCACACCTAACTTACAAACTAGTTTGAATAAAAAAAAATGTAACTCACACTTTAAAATAATTGCTTTTAAATTTATAATTTTATCAGCAGGTATTCTTTTTTGTGTCATACAGTATATATATTGTAATTTTAATATACATTTTTAATATATTCGTAGTTGTTAATTAAGTTAATTAAAAATTATATAACTTTTTTATTCTTAAATTTTATAATTTTCTATTTTTAATAAATTTTAATTAAATATTAAAATATAAATTTTTTCTTTTTTTAACCACTTTCGTAAATTGGTCCAGATCATAATACATGACAACATTCTTTGAGTTTCTTCTCTGCAGTAGGTCAAACTCACTAGATGATGACATATGGCGCAATTTGATAGTTTCGTCTCTACTAAAGACGAAATAACAGTTAAAAAAATATTTCGTAAAGATAGTATGCGAAACAGGTCTTGTCGTGACAAAAAAGACTCCAGACAGGAAATTTGTTTTTAAAAAACATTATTTTAAGAATTTGTTTTTTAAAAAACATTAAAAATAAATAAGCCCTTTAAAACACCAAAGAAAAACAAACATCATCAGACAATTTAAAATCAGATTTCAAACAAAAACTAACGTTTCATAAATCTATTTGTTAAAAATAATAAAATTAGTTCAGTCGTTTATATATCAAATATTATAATTTAAATATACTAAATATATATATATATATTAATTTTATAGTTTAATTATAAATCATCATGCAAGTAATTATTATTGACTTCTATAATAATTTATATAAAAATAAAATATATATTTACAATATATTCTAATTAATTAATAGTATAATTTTTTTTTACAAATAATCTAAAATTAAACTTAAATTGGAATATTCTTTCTATAAAAAAAGCATTTTTATGAGTTATTCTTATTCAGATTTAGTCGTGTCACTTCTTTTATATTTAACATTTTATATTTTATAATAATTTTTCTTTTTAAATATTAATTTTTATTTTAAATTTAAGTTGATATAAAGTTTAAAAATTCATGCATTATATCAAATTAAAAAATACATAATTTTTAAAGTTTATTATAGTCTTAATTAATCTTCATTTAAACTTTAAATTTTTCATCATTTATTTAATTTAAAAAATTATTTTTGAAATTTACCCCCATTTAACGTAATATAGTATTTACTATTAATGAGATTTTTAATAAATTTATAAGATTCACTAAATTCAAAAAGTCATGTAATATATCTTTTTCTTCTTTTTTTTAATCTAAATATTTACTTTAGTTTAATAATATACTTGTAATGTAAAAATAAATAAACCATTGATATCAATAAAAATGCAATTCAATGCTTTTGCACTTTTCTCAATTTTTAGATATAAAGTTTAACTGTAAATCAGTATTAATTTCAGGAATTAAATATATATTTTAATTTTTAAAATTTATAAAAATAATATTGGTGAGTTTGTATAACTGAATCGACTCAAACTTAATCAGATTTTACTTGTAAATTTGGAGTTCAAAACAAATTTAGATTTAATTAAGTTTAATTCAATTAAGTCAAATATAAATTAAGTTCGGTAAAACTCGTAGAAAATTAAACTTTATTTATTGTAAATATCGTTTTTATAAATTGGAATTAAATATTCATTTTTTAAGCCAGTATTCTTAAGCTCGCGGCACTTAAATAAACAAGATAACCTGTTATTTACTGAGAAAAAAATTGGAGAAAAAAAAAACGAAAAAAAACCTTATAGAGTATAACAAGGTAAAAAAACAACAGCTGAAGAAAGAAAATTTCATCAAAGAACGAGAAGGTCTGTTTGATTTAGTTGGAGTTTTTTTTTTTTTTTTTTCTAAATTCGGTTTTATTAAATAATTTTACAAACATATTCTTAAGAGAAAAAAAAAAGAGAAAGAGAAATGTAAATGATTATCAGTACGAATGAGCCGTGCATGATAAGTAACGAAAATTGTATGAATAAATTATTTATTTTTTTAATTGTTCATTAATTTTTATCAATAAAAAATTAGAGATGTAATTTATAAAAAAATTGTACTGAAATTTATCGTATTATGTTTCGAATCATCGTTTGAAAAATATCTTGACTTTTTTTGTTATTCAGCTTTTAAAAACAGAATTTTGAAATTTGTCTTCGCAACACACAAAAAAAAAAACATTATCAAAGAAAATTTAAAATCAGATTTCAAACAAACGTTATTAAAAAAAGATATTTTTTTTTCTTTTGCATTTGAGGCCCTAATCTATATATTTATGAAGAGAGATGCATGAGGAAAGCGAGCGCGAGAATTAAGATTTTGATAGCGTCAAATTTCAACTCCATGATCCATATTCCCACACTTTTTAGGTTTTAAGGAGGTAGGCGCAACTCACACATCTACACAGGGAAAACTCTTAACAGCTCCGAAAATTTTCAACATAAATTGCGGGCTTTCATAACCGGTGAGAACGATTTTAATTCTTCAAACTTCCTCTTCACAGTTCTCGTGCGATCATCTCTTTTGGTTTTCTTCCACTATTTAGTACCTCGTCTTTACATCTGGGCTGTTTATTTCTATCAAGTTTGAAACTGAATAATAATTGTTAAAATTCCAATGTTTCAGAATCTGGGTGCAGTTCAATTCTCGTGACAAAGTGGAATGCGCTTTTTTAATTTAAAAAACATTTAGTGTTCCACGTTTTTTTTTTTTTCAAAGGGGAACTGAGTAAAGGATTAAGATGATACCTGGCATTGTCTCAAGGCTGAATGCTACTATTCACTGTCGCATTCGAGAAGCAATAACAAGACAACAAGGAATGCGAACATCCTTGTACAGGAATTCAGCTGTGTCTCTTTCTTCACTGCATTCAACTTCCTTTTTGTCTGGTTCGATTCATTGCTCTTTAAGCCACATGTTCAATACAAAATCAATGGCTACTTCACCTTCCAATGCTGTGGTGGGAGATGTTTATGTTGATGATTTGATCTCACGTTGCGGCAGTGTGCTAGATTTCACAAAGCCCGCTGTTGTGTACTTGAAAGAAAGAACTCATAAAGGTCGGCTGAGAGCTAGTATGAATCTAAGGATATCACAACCTTTGTATGGTCCTTTGAGTTTTGGGTGTTCCACTTTTGATGCTAATTGGAGGATCCGGAATTCGAGTTTGCTTCATGGACCATGGCTCAAGAATTTATCTTCCTCTTATTCTGCTTGCTACTCAGCCCGGGCTGCACATGATGTCTCATTTGATGGCTGCCCTTCGGATGAACAGTTTGTGAATTCGTCTTTTTCCCCTGACATGTATGTGTTTGTTATTCTTTATACTTTGAATTCTATTTCTGCATGAATTGTTTTTAAATAATATAATTCAGTTATCAATTTCAATATCATGATGGAAGCTTACCCTCTTTGTAGTGTGTTTAAAAGAGTGGGAGTTGCTATTTTAGTATTTGTATTTTCCACACTGAATTATTTCCATTTAGAGTGCAATTTTGCCTTTCACCAATTATTTGAATCCCTTCTTTGGGGAAGAATTATAAACATTATTCTATACTTCTCACAGCTGAGACGTACTTATACTGAGCATTGAGTACTGTTATTTTCAGAACTACTGTTGGTGGCAAGGCCTTAAAGATGTATTCAGGATCTTGTTACCTACCGCATCCAGATAAGGAGGAGACAGGAGGAGAGGATGCTCATTTTATTTGCACAGATGAACAAGCAATTGGTGTTGCTGATGGTGTAGGTGGCTGGGCAGATGTTGGCGTTAATGCAGGACTGTTTGCCCGGGAACTTATATCCAATTCAGTAAGAGCAATTCAAGAGGAGCCTGAAGGTTCTTTTGATCCAACGAGGGTGTTAGAGAAAGCTCACTCAAATACAAAGGCCAATGGTTCATCAACGGCTTGTATCATTGCCCTCACCCATAAGGTATCTGAACTTTGACAGGAAAAATAGTCTTGTCCATTTGTGGGTGAACTTCATCATCATAGCATGTTTCATGCCCACAGCATACTGAATATTCGATGGTTTCTCATATGCATCAAAATAAAAATTTTCTACAATTTCACCTATATCTGGTACAGTGGACTTTTATGATCATGAGTCATTATTAGTATTACATTATAAAATATTGGATGTTATGTTGTTATTGTTATCCCAACACTTACTGTTTCAAAATGAATGTTATTTGAAGTAAGATTGTTTACAACACTTGATACATTATGATGATATTTATGACTTGTACCGTGTTTCCCACCATGCTATTTTAAAGCGAAAAGTTAAATTGATTCAGCTTAAGAATGGAATTAAAGGTTGCTGTGAGTTCTACCAGCTTCTTTTTCTTGCTGCTTTGGTGATGTTCTGTTCTACAATACTGTCATACACATAATCATATGTGCGGATGCTTATTCTTAAATATTGTCTAACCTATTTCTAAGTCCCAAGTTTTTACTCACAATGTCTGATTGGGGTTTTGCCTGCATCTTGATGGACTGAAGCTCAACTCATTTACAGCCTGAAAATTATTGTTACTAGTAAACTCGGTGGTTGGAAAAATGTTTCATCCACTGATTAGTTTTTGTCCTTTGTGGTCCAGGGACTACATGCTATTAATTTGGGTGACAGTGGATTTATTGTGGTTAGAGATGGATGCACCATTTTCAGGTCCCCTGTTCAACAGCATAACTTCAATTTCACATATCAATTGGAGAGTGGCAATAATGGAGGTGATCTCCCCAGCTCTGGTGAGGTAAATAAGACTTACTTTTATTTGGCATGGCTTTCATTATCTTTTACATTTCAAGTGTTTGTAGCTCCAATTTTCTTCATTCTACATTCACCTGTTGCCATAATGTATCCAGGTTTTTCTAATATTATTTATAACTAATATGATCAAACTAACCAAATCTTTTGCCCTAATGTATCCAGGTTTTCACTATACCTGTTGCTCCAGGAGATGTTGTTATTGCTGGAACAGATGGTTTATTTGATAACTTGTACAACAATGAGATAATTGCAGTTGTTGTACCTGCAGTTAGAGCTGGACTAGAACCCCAAGTAACTGCTCAGAAAATAGCAGCACTGGCTCGTCAGCGAGCGATGGACAGGGATAGGCAAACACCGTTTTCTACGGCTGCTCAGGAAGCCGGATTCCTTTTTTATGGCGGCAAACTTGATGACATAACAGTTGTTGTGTCTTACATATCCAGCTCAATCAGTGAATGAGTATTTTTTTGCTGTGATCATTTTGTATATTCATATTTGTTTTTCAGTTGATATGCTACTGCACCTGTTTGTCATTTTTTAACTTCAATGACTCACTCAAGAGTCAAGACGCTGATGAGTAATTTTTTCTTTACATAAAAGGGGGTCATTGTTGCTTTACTTCCTTTGTTAGAATTTGAAAAAGATAACATAATTGCTTTGCTTGCATTTCTGTTAAACGTGCCCATTAATATTTAGGAAATCTTGCATGCTGAAAGCAGAGAAGTGGAGCTGAGCAGGATGGAAAATATGGCACTTTTGTTTTGGTTTATTATGTATGTTCGGATACATGCAACTGTCTATCTGCGTTAAAAAAGTTGCTTTGCACAGTAAATTTGGCGGGCGGAGTGAGTGAATATACTAGTGAAGTCTGAATTTCATTGCATTGCAAAAATAAATTCCGTTCACTTTCTCTTCCAGCAAAATAAATTATTAAAACAAAAAGCCCAAATCAGTTATTTATACTATCACAACAGGCTTCCATGACACAGACTTCTTCGGAACAAAGAAGCAGAAATCACAACCAGATGCAAAACGTAACAATGGCATGAAAAAAAAGAAGTTATTCTAACACACTATCAGCTCAAGTCCCTAGCCGGGTTAAGATGCATCAGGCTAAACTTTCCTTATTTTCAGAACTCTCCTTCCATCAAACCTTGTTTGCCCTTCCACTCCTCTTTCCATAAATTTATTATTATCACTCTCCCGTTCTCTCCTCTTTTCCCTCTCTTCTTGCTGTCTTCTGGCTGTTTCTTCCTCCCATTTTGCATCTTCTTCTCCCTTCTCTCGTTTATGTGGCCTCTTTCTTCTCTCGGCTTCCTTTTCTTCGTCTTCCTCTTCTCGCCTCCTTTCCCTCTGTTCCTGCTGTTTTTCAGCCTGTTCTTGTTCCTTTTCTGCTTCTTCCTCCCTCTCTGCTTCCTTTGCTCTTTTCCTTTCTTGCTCTCTCCTAGCTTCCTCCTCTGCTCTCTTCCTTTCTCTCTCTTCTTTTTGTCTTCTAGCTTCTTCTTTTTTCCTCCGTGCTTCCTCCTCTTCCCTTCTTTTAATTTCTTTCTCTCTTCTGGCTTCCTCCTCCTCCCTCTCTGCTTCCTGCTCCTTTTCTTCCTCTTTCTTTCTCCTAGCTTCCTCCTCCTCTCGTTTCTTTTCCCTCTCTTCCTGTTGTTTTCTCGCTTCCTCTTCTCTCTCTCTTCTAGCTTCTTCTCTCTCCCTCTCTGCTTCCTCCTCTTCTCGTTTCTTTTCCCTCTTCTCTTGTTCTCTTCTAGCTTCTTCTTGCTCCTTCTCTGCTTCCTCTTCTCGTTTCTTTTCTTTCTTTCTCCTTGCTTCTTCTTGCTGCCTCTCTTCCTCTTTCTCTCTCCTGGCTTCCTCTTCCTCTCGTTTCCTTTCCCTCTCTTCTTGTTGTTTTCTTGCTTCCTCTTCCTCTCGCTTCCTCTCTTCTTTTTTCCTAGCTTCCTCCTCCTCCTTCTCTTCCTTCTTTTTCGTAGCCTCCTCTTCTTTTCTCTTCCTCTCCTCTTCCTCCCTCTTCTCCTTCTCCTCTTCCTCCTTCATCATCATCTCTTCTTCCTCCGCGCATGAATCGCACCCGAAAATGATGGAATCATCAGGAGAACTCAAAAGCTGATCCACGGTTCTGCCACTGACACCGAAAGAAGTAGCCACAACCTGTTTGTCTAGAATTTGAAGCACTGAACCCTTTCCCGCCAAAAATTGAGGATGATTATTCTTTGCCGCGGTGCTAAAGCCAAGAAAAACAAACGGTGCATCCTCGAATGACATCTGAGCCATTGGATGAAACCTAGGCACCACAAAAACATCTCCCTGCTTAACCTTAAACCTCATGTTTTGGCATCCTCTCTCCGCATCATTGCTGCTTCCACATACCACTCGAACCATTCCTTCCCCTTCCAACCCCACCGCTACCTCCGTTGCCCTTGGATTCCAATGTGGCCCCATTATTGATCCCTTCAATCATGTTTCACAGCATATAACATCAGAAACATACACAACAGTAAATGACCAAGACTGAAATTTGTATAAATACATTAATCACTAACCATGGTCAGGTTCACCATAAAGAATCCAATATTGTTGCGCTTCAATGTTTTTAGTTGCTTTTTGGTCACTGCTATGCTCCAGCCATTACGATTTTTGAAGTCAGGGTCATTATCAAAGATGTTGTATGTTTTGAGTTTCTTGGAATTGGACCCAACGCGTATGAAGTTTTTAAGAAACGAAGCCTCCATTTCCCACACTGTATTAGGCTTCTCTGAAACCGCATGCACTATGCCTGGTGTCTCGGTCTTGTTTGTGATTGCTTCAATTAAATCTTCTGGCACCTTCAAAAGTCATAGTACAATTACTAAAAGAACAAAATTTGCTTAAGATTATAGCCATTATGCTTTTGCGACGCACTATTATGAACAAAAAACTAATAAAGTTGCAAATTCCGTACCTTCAAAGCTGCTTGCATGATTTTCTTATCAAAGCCTCTGACCAGTTCATTGATCCTTGAGTAAGCTCCGATTGATGAGTCCTGCATTTACGGTTAACATGAACAACTTCAAGTCATTCTTGTGTAAGTTCAATGAAAGCATACACGTGCAGCACTTACGTAAGTGTTGTCATCAGTATTGGAAAACATCGCATAAATCCGAAGCTTCCTTCTCTCAGCCTCCAAGTTGCTCTGTATATAGAAAACAGATCCTTCACTGAGACTACAGAGATCTCCTTGACGTAATTGAATCGTGCTTGTACCACCTTCATGTGCCCAAGTCAGCTTTCCACTCCCTGAATCCCCAGTGATTTGAGTGTGTTCAAGTTAATTTCTTTATACATGCTTGGAAATATCAGTTACTATTGTTATGAAGAAAAATATAATTGCTACAAGTGTATATAATATTAGTCTAGCAACATTGTATGTAACTTCAAAATGAAGTCTCGTGTAGTTTTGGATAGGTATGACTTATTCAACAAAAAAATATAATCAAAATATTAAGAGATGTTTTGGCTTAAAATTTTTGAGAAAGAAGACTGAGAAAGATTGGATGAAGCGTATATTATATTTATTATACATATCATTAATACAAAATATACAATTACATAATTAATTCACAGGATTACCATTATTATATAATTCCATCAATAATAATAATCGAGATGTCATTGACACCCGCAATTTAGAAAGAATAATATTTTCCCCACAATTTCTATTTTTTTTCTATATTCCTCTTTTGATCACATTATCTATCTTATTATACATTTTCTTTCTTCCCTCCTTTTTTTTTTCTCTCCGCATTTCTCTCCTCAATGTTTATGCAAGTATTATTGTCAGAATCATGCCTGAAATAACAAAGTATGGCATGGTTAAAATTTAGAAAATTAAGGGATACCTGTATGAACATAAAAGACCATATCTGCATGGAGAATCACAGGAAGAAACAGCGAGTTCGGCTCCAATGTGAAGAACTGAAGATGGTAGGGCAGTTGTTTGTGGCCTAGTTTGACATCAATGGCTAAGATCTCTCCGTATTCAGTGACAAGCAATGTCCTCCTTAGACCCCTTTCCACCACATGTCCCTCGTGAGCCTTGCCATGATGCTCTTCACTTAATGCCTTCACTCCACACAAGGAAATGGTAAGGAAGAAGATCAAAACCCACCAAAATAGGGAAGCTTTGCGGGACTCCATTATGAACACGGTGAAAGAACTTTGATGGAAACTGTGCTCATGCATGTAGCAAAGGTGGCTCTATATAGAAGTGAGGTGATAAGCATTTTGAGAGGTAAGTGTCTTGTTTCTTGGACACGTCGCTTACGTCTAAACACATGGCGGTTTATTAGATGATTGTCTATTCCATAAAATGCCAAACCCTTGAGAAGGCGATCACTATGAATCTATGATCCTAATATAGTAGTTTTACTCGATTTCCACAGTTTTGCACTTTTACTTTCTTAAATAAAACTGAGATAACATAACAATAATAGGGCCATGTTTTTACTCTTTCATGCACTGTATGATCAATACGTTAAAGATTTTTAGTATTTCATCATTAAATTCTATTCATAGATTTAAGATAGTATATATTTATTTTTATATCAAATTATAAATTTATTGACACAAATTTTTTTTTAATTTTAGTTTTTTATTTAAAAAATTTACAATTTAGTCATATATAAATAAATATTTTTAAATTAATATTTCATTATTTTAAAATTTGATAACGATATTAAAAACTTGATGATTAGGCATGTATTTAAATGGAAGAGGAAGTCAAAAATTGCATAAATTATCAAATTTCTTTCATTTTCTTCACTAAAACGCAACTTTTGTACAGTTATTTGCATTTCATTCTGTCGTAATGTTAGTCATCTACTATAATAATTAAGATCCCTTAAATTATGATTATTTATATTATTTTATCGACACGTATACAACTTGTAAAGCACCTATTATCAATTTTATAAATGGAGAATAAATGTAGCATTAGACTGGACTAACTTCAATTTTACCTCTAATTATTAAAATTTCAATTGATAGAATAAGAAAAGTGCCTAAAAAGGAAAAAAATGAACTAAAATCCAAAAAGTTAAAGAGAAAAAATAAATTAATAACTTGTAGTAAGTGTCACATAGTAAGGGTGACATATATGAGTACAATAGAAAGACTTATTAAAATGTTACAATACCACCTTTACTAGTAAACAAAAATCATGAGTAAAGAAAGAGAAGAAAAGTGCATTAAATGCTGGCATAAGTAAGAGAGTAAAGAAAAATGTATCAAACACTGTAACACTGATTAATGCATGTGTTGGATCTATCATTACATCTCCTCTACAAATCACTCTACAACTGAGTTGTTGTACAGTGGAAGAGAAAAAACATGTATAACAAGACAACAATTACAAAGTGTTGTGTTTTGGTAAAGAAAATGGAAAGACTTTGATAGTTTATGTAACTTTTGACTTCTTACATTGAAGTAGACATCTTATTTCATTGAAGACTTGTCAAGTCATATATTAAGGTTTTAATGTTGTTAACATGTTTTAAAACAACAAAAACTAACTTAAAAATGTTTATTCATATAAAAAATAAATTGTAATTTTTTTTACGTATTTTTTAATAATTTTCTTTTTAACTTTATTTTATGTAAATATTAATAATTTTCCTTTTAAATTTATTTTATATAAAGTTTGAGTTTAAAATTTACAAATAAATATTTAAAGAGTTTTATCTTTTTAAATATCTCTATTCAACTCTATTTAAATTTTGAAGTCTAACGTCACTTTTAAATATCAGTGGTCCTTTGACAGAATAAATAAAATAATAACATTTAAGTTATAAATGGATTAAACAAATAAAATTAAGTTTTTTGTAATAATTTCAAAATTTTAAATTTAATATATTTAAATACAACTTGTCAAGTTTTAAAATTGTAGAATTAATCTTAATCCCACCTCATTTACATCTCTATTCAGTAGTAACACTTATTAATTGTGATTTTTTAAGCATGTGCGTCCCTTTGTGAACTACTAAACTTGGTGAAGACTACTAACTTTAACTACTATTTATCATATAATTATATTACATGTCCTCTACCCCCAAATTGCGTTGAAAGTCAAATTCAAGGTCCAAAAACTTAGGGCCCAAGGAAATCAAATCTCCACATGGGCCATATTTTTAATCCAGCTACTGTATCTACAAATAATTTTAAGGATAAATTCATGTAACTATATAAAGAAATTAATGAAGCTTCTTATACATTAATCTTATTATTGGAATTCAAGTTATGAATTGACAATTATATTTTTTATTAATGTATTTAAAAAGAAAATAAGTTTTATGTATTTATTTATGTAACAATTTAAGATAATATTAATTATTATTATTTTATGAAATGCACTTATATTATTTGCATGGCTAAAGAAATCTATTGATAAAAAATACATTAAATAATTTATCAAACCATTCTAATAAAATTAATAATTTTTTTGTTCTTTGTAAGTTTTTAATCTTGACTTATAGATAAGAACAAACCTAATATTTAAATGCAAGTTTAGTTTATATACATTTTTTTGTTTTTGGGTACATGTTGATTGGTATGAATTTGCGGGTTAAAACCAAAAAACAAAGCCCTGCTCATCTCACCCTAGCCGCTCACACCTCATTCTCAGAGCCGTCGCGACCATCCGTCATCGACGCCGTCCGTTGCCATTGAAATCCAAAATAAGGCAATGGAAGAGGCAGCTGCAGAAACGGTTGAATCCTTGTCCATCGCCGATCCCCAATCATCCAACCCTAATCAGTAAGTTTCTTCTTCCTCTCTCCTCTCTCTCCATCTCCTACTCTATCTCCCAGGGTTTCAATTTCCCTGTTCTTTTGTCTTTAGGTTGAGCATCGACCAGAGGTTTCAGATCGTGAGGAGCGTCGGTGAAGAGTGCATTCAGGAAGATGAGCTCCTTAACCTCCTTGCTAAGAAGCCCGAGCCCGTTTGCTATGACGGCTTCGAACCTTCTGGAAGAATGCACATTGCTCAGGTCAGATTTACTCTCAATAATAATAATTCATTACTTTATTTCTAAGGTGAATGCAAGGGAATCGAATCTTTCACTTATATGTTATTGCTATTATTAAAGGGTGTGATGAAGACAATCAATGTGAACAAACTAACATCTGCTGGTTGCCGGGTCAAAATATGGATTGCTGATTGGTTTGCCAAACTAAACAACAAAATGGGGGGAGATTTGAAAAAAATTGAGACTGTTGGCCGTTACTTGATTGAAATTTGGAAAGCTGTTGGGATGGATCTTGAAGGAGGAAAAGTTGAGTTTTTGTGGTCATCCAAAGAGATTAACTCCAGAGCTGATGAATACTGGCCTCTTGTCTTGGATATAGCTCAGAAGAACAACCTTAAAAGGATTATCAGGTTCCTTTCTTTTTTCCTACCTTAATGCTGCTGTATGATCTTGTGAATTGTGGATTTATTTGGACTGAAGACATTGTTCGGTGTTTTGTTTTTCCATATTATAGGTGTAGCCAAATAATGGGACGAAATGAACAAGACGAATTGACTGCAGCTCAAATATTCTATCCATGCATGCAATGTGCTGACATATTTTTCCTCAAGGTGCGTTACGTCACAGTCTTTCCTATTTATTTGTGCTTGCATTGGTTGTTGTATGTATACCTCACAATGGATGCTGTTTGTTTACTGTGGAGAAATGTCCAAAAGTAATTTGATGTATAGTTGTTATTTGTTACAATTTTAGCAGTGAAAATTGGAATTTTGATAGACGTTGACAGACTTGGTGTGTTAATTACATGTACGTAGGTCAGAATGATTTCTTCTCCTAATTTGTGCATATATATATATATATATATAGAGAGAGAGAGAGAGAGAGAGAATTAGGATCCATTAACACCAAGTGTTAAAATTTGACATTACAACGTTTATTAACTTTTTATAAAATGCATGATTGACTAATCTAAAAATTAAATCTTCTTATATTATTTTTATGATTATCTATATCAAATTTTACATAATTTAAATATTTGTAGGTATGTTATAAAAATTTTGATATTTTCTTATATTTTAAAAATATATTACACCTTAAAATAAAATAATGCAATAAAGTATCTATTCTTTTTGTTTTTGCAGGAAATTTTAACGATGTTAATATACTTGATAAAAACTTTCTAACTAATAGGATTGATTAATCTCATATTGTATGAGAAATTATAAAGTGGTGTAGCTTGTATCTTTGGTTTAGGGTATATATATATAGGGACAGGATCTTCTTACATTAGTGTAAGTTTAAAATCTCTTACACTCAATCTAAGTTTGTTATAATTTATTACTTCATTAACTGTTAGATGTAAGTTAAATGAAAGATTCATGGGTATAAGAGTTTTTAGACTTACATCAGTATAAGAAGCTCCTTTTCTATATATATATCCATCTGTGAGTATTCAGACATGTTTCTTATGTCCTAACCTCTGAAACTAGATGTCAATTTACTTCAAACATATTAGTGAGTAATGAATGCATACTTTTGTCTCAATATAGGCCGATATATGCCAATTGGGAATGGATCAGCGGAAAGTGAATGTACTTGCCAGAGAGTATTGTGATGACATTAAGAGGAAGAACAAGCCCATCATCTTATCACACCGTAATTCTCTAAATTCCTTCTCAGCTAGTGTATGTTGAAGTTGTTATCTCTTACTAATTGATTCAGGGGTCAATTGCAGACATGTTACCTGGTCTGCAGCAAGGGCAAGAAAAGATGTCAAAAAGTGATCCATCGTCTTCCATTTTCATGGAAGATGAAGAGGTAAATTACTAATCAGATTGTTAAATTTGTGTCATTTATCATTTTCTCAAAGGCAGAAGTTGATTGTCATATCTAGTTGCATTCTATTGTTACTATAAGGAAGTCAAAGGAGGAACATTTGACATAAAATATTTAGTACGAAGGAATATATGTTTGGTTTGTGTCAAATTATGGCTATTTATTCCCTCATGATAAATTTTTTTCGGCAGTTCCTTTTTTTGTAACTTTCCTTTGTTTTTCTAATTTTTAGAAAGAAAACTTATATTGTGTCTGTTCAACTCTATGTTTTGATATCATAGGCTGAAGTGAATGTGAAAATAAAAAAAGCTTACTGCCCCCCAAGGATTGTGGAAGGAAACCCATGCTTGGAGTACATTAAATATCTTATCTTACCATGGTTTAATGAATTCACTGTCGAACGTAATGCAGATAATGGTGGGAATAAGTAAGTTTTTCCATTTCCCTATTTACTGCTGCACAATTGTTTGGTTAGTGTGTTCATGCCTCCATTCAATCTATATAGGACTTTCAAAACCTATGAAGAGCTGATTGCAGACTATGAAAGTGGAGCATTGCATCCAGGTGACCTTAAGCCTGCATTGTCCAAGTCATTGAATAAAATTTTGGAGGTGAGATTTTCTAATTAAGTTCATGTGGCTTATATTCTTCTAAGTTTTGAAAGCACAATTTCAATTATAATCTTATTGATACTGTACAATGTGTCGGGTTTGAATTTTTAACATGGTTTCAATTTGCAAATATCAATATGGGGTTAAAGTATTTCAAGTTGTTTAATCCATTTGCTTCTCCAAGTAAAGCACAATGTTCATATGTTTATACAGATATAATTGTGAGCTTGTTCAAAGCTAGAGTTGTTGTGTTATGGCATATATATATTTTATGTGAGCTCAGAAGTAGAGCTTTCTTTCATTTCTTTATTTCTAGTATATGGCACAAGCTAGAATGATTGTTTCTTGGATTATGCAGCCTGTAAGGGAACACTTCAGAAAGGACAGCAGTGCTAAAGAGCTCCTAAAAAGGGTCAAGGTAAGCTTTGTTTTAAATTATTAAAATACGTCAAACAATTATTTTAGTCTTGCATACACGCAAAACTGAATTTGTCTTTGGTTTGTAGGCTTACAGAGTCACCAAGTAAAATGCTGATTAAAGAATTTAGGTTAATTATATTATTTGCCAAACAGCCATAAAATTTTCCCGTTAGCAAATGCACTTTTGGACTTTTAAATGTGGCGCAGGTTCTCCTTAGAACGAGATATCTGATTTTAATTCGTGTATTTTATATACTTGAAAAATAGATCTAATGTTTTAATTTAATATTTTTATTTTATTATGTAAGACGTGTCACAAATAGCAATAGATTGATTCAAGATTCCACTAAACTTATCGAATGTTTATTATGTACATGGATGACATGCAAACTTGTGTATTACATTTTACAAGAATAAAAAAAAATTCCCCTAAATTCAAAACTCCCAAAGAAAAGTGCTTTATTTTATTTTTTGGTTTAGAGTATTAGTCTCCTGTTTGAGTTGGATAGTGTCACAGCTCTTCCTGTAAAACATTTTTGTGTAAAATTTCTGAAAACTAATTAACTTTTTTATATAATCTTAAAATCACTTTTATTAAAACTTTAAACAACGAGCAAACCATACTTTAGTTTTTTAATTTTCAATGGAAATTTTTTTATTTTCTGCAATTCATTTGTAAATAATTAACTTACGGATTCAAAAGATTTTTAAACGTCTAATTCAGAAGGGAAAATGAAATATAGAAAAACTATAATATCTTTACCCTGTATCTTTCCTCCACGCCTCTCGCGCCATCCAAACAACCAAGTGAAACACCAGGAACGTGGACTATCGGTATTGCACAAATAAAGTACAAGAATACAGGCAAATAATACACCGAGGGATCGAAGCGGTGTATTTAGATAAACGAAATTCATTGTAATGATCACACTGCCCTCAACCCGAGGTATGGGTGCATGTGTGTCGGGTGTAAATATGTGTTCATACCATATTACCCAGCTTAAAATGATATCTCCCGTGTGCTTAGCGGAGAATATTATTTGTAGCAATAGGTCTTTACATGTAAAGGATCTTGTACCCATGCCTCAAAATTTTCTTGCCACCGAAATGAGAAGCAAAAATGTTCTGATAAAGACGTTCCTCAGTAATATCATCAAACACTTCTATGGGTGCAATTCAAATACGAATCAGCTTAGCAGTTACTGTGGTTCGTCTAGCAAGGATTTTGCTGTCCAAATCATTAACCTTGAACTTGATAGACAGCTTTTCTTGTCCAAATCGGAAGCCTTCAGCTCATGGTCGCTCAAAAGCTCTAGGATCTCTTCAATTCTTATTTTAATCAGTTTACCTCTTATTTCCGAGCCAAAGTTTCCGGTTCAGATTGTTTCCTCAATGATTCCACTTCATATCAGAGTTAGCAATTGCACCTCCATGAAGTCGAGCAGATTCTACATCCTTAAGAAAAGCCAACAATTTCTTCACTTTGTTAATTGGATCATTGGGGCAGATTGTAACTCTTGGACCACAATGCATACACAATGTAATACTACCCCATGACGACCGACTCCAAGCGGCAGCTTAATCCTATAACCCAATACTTTTCAAAGATGCACCATCAGACGGAAGCAAAGCTTTCTTTCACATGATATCTTCCAACTAGAACATGGAACTCAGAAACCACATACTTGATCTCCTCTCCAGCGCTGTCTTCCTTATCAAATAGATCATCAGAAACACAAAAATCTGTGGACCCGCCAGCCGATGTATTAAGACCTTATATGTCATCAATAGAGGTGAATGAAACAACTTTTGGTGAAGCATTTTTGTCCCCATCTTCCTTTGTTCGTATTTGGCAGGCAAGATGCCGGGTATCATCCTTTGGTTGGACTGTGTGTTTGATAGGCTTTCACAGAAACTAAGGCAAGAGACAAGTCAACTGTATGTTTATCGGGTTTGCTTGCATTAGGCACCGGTGGATGTTGGCTACTGTGCAGCAACAGAAGTATATCAAGGAAATTGGAGTCTAAATCTCTGCTTGCCAAACATTATTGAAGCAATTTGTCACCTACAATACAGGCATTCCATCCATCATAGTTAACATGACGGCAACAAGGAGGAACTTCGCCTCCACTATGAGGGAAATACGGGAAATACCTTTCACATTTTATAGGGTCTGTCAAAGCTACAGCAATGATGATGTTGACACTCATTTGGACAGAACTTTCATGTTTGTGGCAAATTCTATTTAGCTGACATTGTAATCTACGTAAACATTTCCAATTCACATACTTCTGGCCTCCACAAAACTCTGAGCAGGTAGTTTTCTTAATCCCACCTCATTTACCATATCTCTAGCCTTCTCTGCATCTCTCCACCTTCCTACAGCTGCATAAAGTTTTGCCAGAAGAACATAATTTCCAGTGTTTTCAGGCTCAAGCTTAAAAGCCCACCAAGCAGCAACCTCTCCCAATTCAACATTCTCATGAATCACGCAAGCACCAAGTAGTGCACCCCATACAGCATGGTTAGGTGTTATAGGCATTGTTTTAATAATATTATAAGCATCATTCAGTTGACCTGCGCGTCCAAGAAGGTCAATAATGCAAGTAAAATGATCAATGTGAGGAATAACTTGATGTTGTTTAAGCATAAACTTGAACAAAGACAAACCCTCATCAACCAAACCCGCATGGCTGCAAGCATGCAGAACAGAGGTGAAGGTGACTTGATTTGGTTTTACTCCAGATTGAACCATCTGATTGAAAAGTGTCACAGCCATTTTTCCATGCCCATGCTTTCCATAAGCAGCAATTATTGCACTCCAAATAATAATATCCTTGTCTTTCACAGGAATAATATTAAAAATCTGGTGAGCATATCCTAAACTTCCACATTTTGAGTATATATCAACTAGAATACTTGCTACTTCAAGTCTGTAAAGAAATCCTGATCTTATAAGATAACAATGTATGTTCATTGCCTGTTGGAGATCAGCAAGAATAGAATATGCAGGAAGAAGACTTTTTAAGGTTGCATTGTCAGGTTGTACGTTTTTCACTAACATTTGCTTAAAGAGTTCTATTGCCTCTCTTGCAAGCTTATTATGTACAAACCCAGATAGAATAGCATTCCATGGGGCTGTTCTCTTTTTAGAGGTTTGCATGAATACTTTGAAACTGAGGTTGCCACGATTGCATTTGGCATACATATCAATCAAGGCAGTTTCCACAACCACCTCAGACTCGAGCTTTTGCCTTATTGCCCATGCATGCAGGCACTTGCCATGGTTCAAAGAAAACAAACTGCTACATGCTGATAGTAAGGAAGCTATACTTACTGAATTTGGTTTTACTCCTTCCAACTGCATCATCCGACAAAGCATCAAAGCACTTCTTGCATCCCCATTCAGCATGTATCCATTAATCAAAGTTGTCCATGTCACCACATCTTTTTCATCCATCCCACTCGCCAACAACCATGCTTCTTTCATCTGACCACACTTAACATACATGTCCAGCATTGCATTCTTAACTACCACATTTTCCCATAACCATTTCTCCTGAACTAACGCATGAACCTCCCTCCCAAGTTCTACATTCTTCAAAAGCCCACAAGCAGGCAGTACTGAAACCGCGGTTGCACAATCAGGCTCCACACCCTCATCCATCATTCTTCTATAAACCTTCAGCGCTTCCTCAGCACAGTTATTCCGAAGGTAACCGTTGATCATGGTATTCCAAGACACGACAGTTCGTGCCTGCATCAAATCAAAAACCAATTGTGCTGCTTCTTTCTCCCCAGCATTCATATACATTGCCAACAAAGTGTTCTGGACAAATGTGTCGGAATCAAAGCCAAACTTAAAGGTCTGCCCATGAACCCCAGCACCCATATCAATCAAAGACAAGTCACCACAAGCCTTGACAACAACTGGGTACGTGAATTTGTCAGGCAGAGTCTGACCCGAGCCGAGCATTTCAAGAAACAAGCTGAGGGCATCAAGGGGGCGACCAGTTTGAACATACGTCCTCATCATAGCGTTCCAGGAGAACAAACTTGGTTGAGACAATTTATCAAACAGGTGGGACGCATAGGACGCATGCTGGCACTGTGCGTAGGTCGTGGCAAGCTTGGAGCAAAGGTGCGAAGAAGAGAATAGACCAACGGTGAGGATAAAGGCGTGCAACTTTTTGGTTTCAGAAAGAGAACGAGAAGCTGAAAATTTTTGCAAGAGCGATTCACATAGTACCGCAGTGGTCATGAACATCTTCCCTTTCTTCAGTGGACCATTCATTTATTCACGCAAGTCATTTTATAGGTTTCGGCCTACGTGGACCCGGTCTGCTTTTGGTCAACAGGCCCAGTTTAATTTGGGTCCTGAATCTCATCCCCCTTCTTGGTCCATTATTCTAGCCCATTTAAATATTTACCCTGCAACGTGGGCTGGATCTGGGGCCTTTCAATGCGCTTTGTGGCAAGATCTTGATAATTTATTTTAAGAAAATATCCTTATTAATTTTAAAATTTATCCCATTGTTATCTTCTTCTATTCTAATTTCACTCATCCTCTACCGATCTACCGGGGTTCATATCTTCTAACCACTCTACCAATAATTTTTAACTTATTTATTGATTTAGCATAATATTTTGTTATTTGTAAAAAAAAGAAAAAAAAAGCTTCGAATGAAACTGTGAGAAGCTTTCGGTTCGAAAGTCATATAACAATATTTCAGAAATTAAATTATGAAATATTCTAAAATTTAATTTCTGAAAATAGCATTAAATGAAACGTTTGAAGTAGTTGTCTTTATGTTTATTTTTCTCTTAAAAAAAAAGAAATTTACGAAAATTAATTTCTAGAAGCATGTTTAACAACCTTTGTAAATCATATTTTTGAAAATTAATTTTCGAAGATGAACATTCCTTGGATATTAGCTGGCCCACAGAGGTTCGCCGTGTCTCGCATGTTACCTTCGATAGGTTAAATGACTTTCTCTGTTTGCCCTTTGAACTCGAGCCAGAGGTTCCAAAGAGAGTCCCTATTGCCAAGTCAACTCTCTCTTCTTTACCGATCTTAGTTGTTAATTGCGTATTAACACTAAAAGGACATTAAATGGGTAATTGAAGTAGCGCTAAATGTTCAATTTTGTTGACATTTTTTTCAGGTTCATATAAGAGAGCGTTGTTTTGCAATTTGCTTAGGACTAGATGCAATTGTATTTTCTTTTCAGTGCATGAATAAGATTGTAAATTTGTAATGGTCTGGATATAGCTTCAATTAAGACTGCATTTTTTATTGTTGGCTGATTAAGAAATGTTTGTAATTTTGCATCTGACCAGGTGTTCTAAAGCGAAGGAGATGATGTATGGTGGTTCTTTGTTTGTAGAGATTTTTTTAAAAATAGATACGAGTGCAAATAGATAAAAAGGAGGTGTAAAAAGCAACCCCTTGTGGTAGTGGGGCTATGCTCCATGATGTATTTTGTAATTTGTAAAAAGTAGCATTTACGTTGACAGAAAAAAAAAGTAGCATGTACTATAATAAATTGATGTGATTCTAATTGATTATAACATTAGAGATGCTTTAAACATCATCCGTTTCAAATGAGAGAGGAAACATTGAAATTCACGTTTTCTGTGTTTTTCTTCACTCTCGATACATTCTTCATGACAGCTAATTGTTTTTGTTTCAACAGAGATAGGATGAAAAGAAATAAGAATGAGGTAAATAAATTAAAATTGATGCATTTCACTTGTTTGTTTGAGCAAAGAAAATTGCATAAACAGGTGTGGGATCCAATTGAAACATTTGTCTCGACAGAATCAGAAAGTGGGATTTCGGTATAGAAATAAGCGAAGAAAGGGGCTTGATAAATTTGCCCTTTATTATTTTTCATGTTGTTTTTCTCCATCTTTTATTCTTCTTGCATCCGATATGAACCCCATCTCCATTTTTCTACATCTTACCCTCCAACAAGACTAGAAACGGCAACTATTGGTAGAGAACAGTTTCGAGTCAAGATTCAATTTTTGCAAGCTCTTACTCAATCTCCATGATATCCAAAGTTATTTTCCAATCACTTTACCAAGGCTTCAAAATATGAAAAAAACATGGTGATTATTAGGAGAGTTCAAGTGTTAATGTTAGCGTTAACCCACCATCTAGAGAGTTCGGGGGAGTAGAAGAAGGCAGATGATGTAGGAGGAAAGAGTTTTCTCTCTCTTTTTTTTTTTTGTAAATTTTGTAAAAATAAAATAAAATTAGAGTTATGGTTGACTCATTAGGATTTTAGAGAAAATATTTTTTTATAAAAACTTAAAAAAATTAATTAAGAATTAGAAAAATAAGTTGTTTATAAAAATTAAGATTATTGTTCTTTTCAATTAAATTCAGAAGATCTCTTTCTAAAGATAAGAAAATTTTAAATATAATTTATGTATTTTATTATTTATTTAAATAAGTAAAAGAGAAATATATGAATTGATTTTCATTATTCAAATAACATGTCATTTTTTAATTTATTTCTCTTATTTCTTTTTTTTTCCTCCATCCAAATTAAGTGTAAGAGAAAAATTAGATGGTTAATTGGTTTAGCATTCTCATTATTCACTACTTAATTTTCATAAAAATAAAATTTAAGTATAGCATTTTAGGTTTTTTTAATATTATTCTTTAATTAAAAATAAAGTTTTACTTCAATAATCTATCCGAATTTTAAATGCAATTTTTATTATTCGTATTATTAATCTTAATAATATTATATAATTTTATCAAATCATTGATAATTTTAATTTTAATTTATTTCTCACTTTCTCCCACTTATTTTCCTTATCTTATAATCTCAATGCCCATTTCAGCCTTTTCAGGCTTTAATGCTATATATTATAATAAGAGATAATGTTTTTCTTAAAAAAAATAATTATCCACGCCCAGTCTTATCTCCAATCAAACTCATCTGTTTGTGATCGGACGACAAAAATTCCTTTTTAAAGTGAGCCGTCTGAGTTGGTAGTGTCATCCATTGAAGTGGCTCAAACAAATACCAGAAGCACATATCTTTCGGACCTTCACCTCACACCACAAACCTGTGCCATAATGTTTCACATCATCAACTAGTCTTAAGAGGATGACCCAACCCAACACACAAAAGAATACCACGTATTTAAAAATGTAAGAGAATCCCACATGCATAAAATAAATAGATGTTATAGTGGGATTAAAATAAATAAAAAACAATTGAATCGAGGGTAGTATTTTATGCTTCTCAAAGCAAACAACATATCCTTATGGATCCCCTGTGGTAAAGCTTTGGGTGTGCCATTATATCACAGAGAAGATAGAAGATCCTCCACTATTATTCCCCAAATGAAATATCACATCCTCCACTTCTTCAACACCCCTTTAGCTTTTTTTACCCCTTCCCTTTTGGAATGGAAGTGGGTGAATGGACCTCTTTATATGACCCATGATATAAGCCAGAATCTCTCTTCCTCTTGCACCCCCCACCTCTTCTCTTTTGTACTCGTGAAGTTTCCCAATGTCCACCGTGTCCTTCCTTCCTTAAAACCTTAATCGCTAAGTATATATATGCGTGCGTGTGTGAGCTTCACACACTACCTTTTGAAAAACAATTTAAAGTATCACTGATTAGCTCAATGATTTAGGAATCATGATGAAATCATGTATTGAGCTAACCAATTTTCGAAAGTTGACACATGTGCGAAGTTTTGATACGTTCTTTCTCTCTTTTATATCTATTTCATCTGGGTTATTATACTTACTAGCAATGTGTAAAATTTCTGGTTTAACAAATCGAAAACGAAATTAATAATATCATTGAGTTCATATCTTTTTTTTTCTTTTTTCCGTATGAACTGGTTTTTGAATACGTATCAAACATAACATCCAACCCTTTTATCCGAACGACAAGTCTTATAATATACTAAATTTATGAGTGTTTAAGTAATGAATAATAAATTTTATTTGATGATATTCGTCCGTGGAAATAATCTTAATATGTTTATACAACTAACTAAAGGATATTTTTTCATCGTAAACCGTATGATTAATTAATTACCAATGTGTAATATATCGAATTGTTGATCAAGAAAAGGATATCAATAACTTTTTTCTTACAACGGATGCTAGCATTGGATCCCTTATAACTAGAGTATATCGGATACTTGTTAGAGTAATCATTTACACCACATGCCCTATATTTGTTATTAGCATGTGTAGAAATTGTACATAACAGATCAACGATCATATAATTGTTAATCTGATAAAAGCCTAAAAAAAGAACATAAATCTATAAAGTTGATCATCGAATTAATTAGCGCATCATCTAAATAACGACGAAGTGTGATCATGAATTAAAAATTCTAGTGTATATCGTATATTATATTTCCCGTGAGGCATGAGCAAACGGACATAAAGACACTTTATTTAGTAGTGACTAAACTTTCTTTTAAAGTGACTATCAACGATAACAACAACATGAATGAATGAATAATAACAATTTTATATTTTGTGTTATATTAAAATTATTTTTATTAAAAAATATCATGTTGAAAATGTAAAAGTCTCTTACTATTCATTTTAAAATAATTTAAAGTATTTAAAAGTATAATTAATATTTTTACATTAAATATTTATAGACATATAATAAAAAAATTGTAATACAATAATAATAATAATAATAATATAATTGATAAAGTAATAGGATGTGGGTACGTAAATCAACGGTATTTTCTTATCTAACAACGAAGAAGAAATTTGATGCCCTGTCATGTATCACACAGCTTGGAACATATTCCCTTCGTCACTTTTTGGGGTTTACCTTACCACGTGCCGTGTTCACACGCGCCGACTCATTAAACGACCCACCAATAGCATGTATGCATATCCGACAAAAAGCCGTTCAGTGGGGTCCAGAATACGTCATCCCCTGCCTAATCACGTCAGCGTTCCACGTGGACTTAAGACCCATCAAAATTCTTATGGATCCGGATCATCGTCTCCCATTTTCTGGATTTTAAATATCATATTCCTACGAGTATTATATTATTTTTTTAGTCGATATTATTGTAATTTGAGGGTTTAAATAAATAATATAATTAAAATTTAAACTTCGATATAATTGTATATATACGTCAAGTGTATTTCTCTTATCACTGCACTTAATTTTCATTACTTAGAAAAATAACAACAAAAAGTTTCATTTTAAAATACATTCAATAACACAAATTTATAATTTATTTAAGTTCAAATTTATATAATTTTTTAAATATACATATAAATTTTAAAAGATAACTTATAAAATATTTTAAATAAAGTTTAGCTTAATGAAAATTTACTTTTAATATTTTATCTTCATCTTTAACAATTTAGACAATTTATATTTAGACAAAAATAATTTTATCAATTTTCTAATTATTTAATTTATTTCAATTATTTATACAACTAATTTCATTAAATAAACTTAATTTAATCAATTAGTTATAAGTTATAAACTTTAAATTGATAATTTATTAACTAAAAAAATTATAAAATTTTAACTAGTTTTCGAAAGTAAAGCCATGATATAAACTAGTAATTCCGATAATCCATATTTAATGAAAAGCAATTTATGTCTCTACATTGCATGTTAAACATTTTATTTGTCTTATTCATGATACTATCATGCTAATAAATATTTCTAAAACAACTATAATAATTAATTTTTTATAACTTAAAGTGTTTATTTTTGAACAAAAATATTTTTTAAGACTTTTTTGTCTAATTATGTGATTTTTTGTATTAATTTAATTTTATACGGTCTTCAAAAATTTGATCCATGATATAATTTTTTTTAACGATTTCAACTATTAGTATTGTAGTATGTTAAAGACTTTATCATCAAATTTTTCATTTAAAATTTTAATTATTAATCTCAAAAACTTAAATTATAACTACATTTGTCTTTAAAAAAATTTAAAGATGAAAAAAACTTTAAAAATTTAACATAATGGTATTGAAAAAATATTTTTTTATCAAATTAATATTTCTGTAAGACTAAAATAAAAAGAAAAATTAGCAATAAAAACTTTTAAAAGAGTAATATGATAACAATTGAAATAATTAAAAAATGTACTGAGTGATTCAAAATTTTAAACGAGTTACTTAAAGACATTTTAGTTTAGGAGAAGCTACGAAGGTTTTCTCTCTAATTAACTAAAATCATTCACAGTGGCCCTCCCATCCTTAACGCAACGAAATCCTTATTCTAGTGTGAACGCTGCTGGATTCTTGACAAGTACGTCTATGTTCCCTTCGTCTTTTCCGTTAGGTTGGCGCGTCAAATTTAATAATAAAAATGTTCCTTAACATAACAATAATTTAAAAGAAGTAAAATGAAGATAAAAAAGTGAAGGAAAACAAGAGTATTCCTTACTTTTTTTTTGCCAAGTGTGCAATAATCATTAGAAAAGAAATACGTAGACCCATATTCCAAAATGATATTATAATTTAAGATAATTATACAAAACTGCATGCATAGCAAGATATACACACTACAGTAAATATTTACTAGTGACTAAGCTTTGTAAAGTACCCCCAAACAACCGAGATATGACGACAGTGCAACAGCCATACAACCAACGCTGAAATTCCATGTAAAACTACTATCGATTAAGAATGTCCACATAAAAAAAGATGCAACTGATTATACTTTGAACTGAAAGGATCGTTGAATTAAAATGTCAAACAATGCAAAGGGTAAACAAATAAAGCTATGTACCACTATTCCAACAGAAATATGAGGCTGATATTGCCATGGTGAAAAAATGCCATAGTCATGGATCTTTCATTTCAACTGAATAATAATAAAGCTGAACTTTCCTTCCTTGGTACGAACTAATTGATATGATTCAATGGAACATGAGCAAACAATTTTACAAGATACGAATTCCCAACACTTTTTACTGCTCAACTTTACCAAAAATGTTAGAGTTAGTCAAAAGTGCTCTGATTCCTGAAGATTGGAGGTATGTTTACCTGCTTGGATCCATTTTGACAATTCACATTAGAGACATATGCGGTTCTGTGAAGGAAGACTCTATTCACGAAAGTGTATTTATATTTTTTAACGGCTAATATTGGGAGCAAAGTAGGAACGTAGTAGCGGCAAAACTTTCCGCTAACTGTGCCTCCCATACAAAGTAGTTAATGATGGACCTTTCTCAAAGCTTTTTTATTGGTATAAATAAAGAATTAAAGATGGGTAGTGCTATGCTTGTCTTGGGGTCCATTTAGAACTTTTGTGGGCCCAACTTAAAGAAAGCACGACTTAACTAGGTGCTTTAAAGCCTTTAACGCCCACTATTTGACTCTTTTGTCGTTTTACAGTTGAAAGATCTTTCGACATGCAAGCCAGACCATGTTTAGATACATGACAACAGATCCAACAAAGAGCATTGAATTATATTGGGTGTCATTATTTATTTTTCCTCAATTTTACAAAAGATATATTGTGATCAAATAATCTTATGTTTGTTGTTGATTTAATTGTGACTGAATGAAATGCCAGATTTCATTTTACTTTCTAGTATTTTTCTTCTAATGTGTTGTATTAAATAAATGTTTTTTAACTTTTAAGATTTTCAAGTTCTTTTCATACCTCTGCAAGCACATCTTTTCTTCAAAAGAAATAAAATAAGAGAAGACAAAATATTTTAATTCGATTTAAGAAAGTAACTTAGTATCCTAGATATTTAACACCTTGGTTGAAACTAACCATTGTGAACAGGAGAGAAAAACACGGAGAGAAGATAGGGCATTTTTGTTAAAACGATCAAACTATTTTTACTGTAGTTTTATTTTGTTATATTTTAATGATAAAAAAATTAAATACAGTTATATCTTCTTTCTATTTTGGTTTAAATTAAATCAAATAAACAGAGATAGCGTTTAATTTTCCTTTTTTATATTTCTAATTTAAACATCCTTATAATTACATTTTTTTTACTTCATTTTTCTTTATTTATTCTCACAGTCAAACAAAGCCCAAAATATTGTTTAGCGAGGGGAAAAGATTGATATGATAATGGAATGGTAAATTCGCTTGATTGCTTCCCATCTCAACGTAAAAAAATGCTATTACAAGGCAATTTTATGCTTAATATATATGCACCCTGCCTGAAGTACAAAATGTAGAATGAGTATTACGATTACCTTGATGATCATCTTGGCACAATATATAGAATTAATTGGGTTTATAACTTAATTGATAAATGCAAAATATTTATAAAAAAAAAAAACAATGAACTTAGAGACGAATTGAATTGGTTTTCATAGATTATATAATAACTATTTGAAAATTGCAAAAAAATTGTATCTAAATTTTAGCTAGCTATAGCAATTGTATATTCCTAACTTTTTGCTGTAACAAAGAAAAGAACAAAATTTATATACAGCATTTCGGATATGTACTTTTATTTTTCATTTTAAAAAAATTATTTTAATGATTGATGTGAACTTGAAATATTAATTTTTATCAAGCAGTTTATCAAGTGTAACTCTAATCTTTACAAAAAAGAAAATCCAAAACATCAAAGTATTATAGCTGAATTCCAATTAGCTCTGTGCAAGTCTTGTCTTCAATTTCGTGCACTCGCTTGTCTTGATTTTGAAAGGTGAGTGGAATTTTGTTTGGGTTCTAAATTGAAGACGACTTTTTGAGAGTTTACTTCGAAATGATGGATAATTTCCTTCCACACCAACGTCTCGTGTATGGACAGCAATTCATGACGATAAGTCATAGCTACAAACATATCCTTCCTCCGAGCGTTGAGCTTTCAAGTTGGGCCAAGAAAAGCCAAGAAAAAGGGAAGACAAGCTAGCGTCGCTTCACCTTGAAGCCTAACGGCGATAAAAAGAAAGTTTAATTGTACCTTTTTTTTCCCTTTAGTTTAGTTTTTGTGACTTTTTTCTTTCAATGCTTTTAAGTCAATCAAACATTTCTTTTTAAATTAAGTAAATTTATTTTTATTGTTAATTTTTATCTAATTTGTAAAATTAGATTATCAGTGAAATTTGTTTAAATTTAATTTTGTGTAAAATATGAGTGATTAGGGTTTGAAGATAAAAAAAAAAACAGATGTTTTTATTTGAAGTGGAGTTCTAATGTTTTAACTACTTACTTTCGAGGAGGAAAAACAATACATTTAATCAATTTAATTTACAAAAAAAATAAGAATTTCAAAACTTTAAATACAAGAAAAAATTGACAACAAAAATAAAGATACTTAAATTTACAAATTAAAGTGCTTAATTAATTTGAAAAAATAATAAAATTAAAGAGATAAAAGAAGTTATGATTAAATAAATAAAAAAAATGTTTTTCGCTGTGATTCATTGACTAGTGTCAAGCATGGTGAGGTCAGGTCACAGAACTGATGGTACAGATGCATGACAGAAGTTATCTATATATATATTTCATCCTTTCTCCATTCCCATACATGACATGACCATAAATAAGTAACCCCACCCCTTTACGTGCACACACGCAAAGATAAAAGGCCCACAATCATAACAACCAAAAGCCCCCTTCTCCAATCCCCATCTCTTCTCAGTTCTCAGCGGCCATTTTGAACAAGGAGGCAGCAAAACACAGCAGCTTTTGCTAAGCCTATCCCTCCTTAGTCTTTTACAAGCGATGAGAGTTCCCGTTCCCTCATCCCCACAGCCCAACCCAAAACCCAGTAACGCACTCCGTACCATTGCCCTGAACAACCCAGGCCTCTGCTACGAGCCCACTTCTGTCCTCGACCTGTGCCGCAGCCCCAGCCCGGGCAGCGTCCCTGAAAAACCCACGGATCACTCCGTTGTCGTAACTAACTCCCAAGACTGTCTAGACCTGGACGACCATGCGTTGCATAACTTGGATTGGGATTCCATCATGAAGGATTTGGGCTTGCACGACGACACGGGCACCCCCGTTTTGAAGACTATTCTTCACCCCAACAACGACTTCACACCCTTTGACCACGCCGAATTAACCGACATCTACTCCACCCAAAACGTACCTTACAACTACCCCGCTCTCGACCATTTGGTTCAAGACTTTAGCCACCACCCCAACGGTTTCGATTTCATTGAAGAGCTCATACGCGCCGCCGATTGCTTCGACACCAACCAGCTACACGTGGCGCAAGTGATATTGGAGCGGCTCAATCAACGGCTACGATCCCCCGTGGGAAAACCCCTCCACCGCGCAGCGTTTTACTTCAAAGACGCACTCCACTCTCTTCTCTCCGGTTCGAACCGGACGCCGAGGCTTTCTTCGTTGGTGGAAATTGTGCACGGTATCAGAACCTTCAAGGCCTTCTCTGGAATCTCTCCGATTCCAATGTTCTCCATCTTCACCACCAATCAAGCACTCCTCGATCATGCCGCATCTTCCTTCATGCACGTCATCGACTTCGATATTGGCCTTGGCATTCAATACGCTTCTCTCATGAAGGAGATTGCGGAAAAGGCGGAATCGCCTTTTCTGCGAATTACCGCCGTTGTTCCTGAAGAGTTCGCCGTGGAGAGCACGCTCGTCCGCGACAACCTCACGCAGTTCGCTCTCGAACTCAGGATCCGAGTCCAGGTTGAGTTCGTGCTGCTTCGAACCTTCGAGACGCTCTCCTTCAAGGCCGTCAAGTTCGTCGACGGCGAGAAGACTGCAGTACTCTTGTCGCCGGCGATATTTCGCCGCCTCGTTTCTGCCGGCAACGCAGCCGCTTTTCTGGCGGATGTGCGGAGGGTCTCGCCCAGCGTGGTGGTCTTCGTGGACGGGGAAGGGTGGTCGGAGGCGGCGGCGGCGTCTTCGTTCCGGCGCGGCGTGATGAGTAGCCTGGAGTTCTACTCGATGATGCTGGAGTCTCTGGATGCATCGACGGTGGGGGGAGGAGGTGAGTGGGTGAGGAGGATAGAGATGTTGCAGATGCGCCCGAAGATTTTGGCGGCGGTGGAGAGCGCGGGTCGGAGGATGCCGCCGTGGAGGGAGGCGTTTTACGGGGCGGGAATGAGGCCGGTTCAGTTGAGCCAGTTCGCCGATTTTCAAGCGGAGTGCTTGTTAGCTAAGTCACAAATCAGAGGGTTCCAGGTGGCGAAGCGCCAGAACGAACTGGTGCTATTCTGGCATGACCGGGCCATGGTTGCCACGTCAGCTTGGCGATGCTAGAACAGGGAAAATTATGATTGGGGGAGGGGATTATGTAATATTAAACTACCTAATTAGTACTATAATGATAGTGTTGTTATTAGGTTCCAACTTCCAAATTCCAATTTCCAATTTCCAATTTCTGAGTCCAAGGTAGTGGTTTATATTATTGTCATGATGGAAAGTCTAGGTATCTGGCAAAAGAAAGATAAACCTGTATTTATTCTGGACCATTTTGTTTTCTTGTGAGAAAAGGGTGGGGTTGGGGAATGGGGGTTGTTTGTCTTTCTTTGTTGGAGCCTCTTGTTATCCTAATGAACTTTGCTGGTTTTCCAATCAAAGGGTTTGGCACACTAAATGCTTCTTTCTATCTTTATTCCTGGTGGCATGGAATGGAGTTTTTTTTTCTGCGAAAGTTAAGTGAGAAAACAAAGGTCTATACGACTAGCATATTCAGTTCGTTGCCCACATACCTTTCTATTTATACTGTGTTTCCACCGCTTCGTATTTTTCTCGTTTTGCTATTAGCAGTGTGAAATATGTTCTCAATGCCAAACTGCCCCCGTTGTTTGACGTGACACCGTCGCATGAAAACATCAAGAACTAAGAACATTCCACTTAGCAAGTAAAGCATGGAGAACATAACAAACAACCATTCCATCTGAGATGGATCTTCTTGTTCTTCCGCTGATTTCTCCTAGCCTCGTTGATGATGGTGTCTCGCTATGATGAATGGGGTGAACGCGTGTATGAGGTATTTTCACACTTAAGTTCGAAAGAAGACTTTCAAGTGACCATGCTATATATAAAAACGGGGTACATCTAACATTAGAATTGGATCTGCTTATACATAGTCAAGTGTGAGATGGTAGCTATTTCTATAGACGTATTCTAGTTGCAATAGTTTTACTTTATGCTGTGTTAATTTGAATTTGTGTTTAAGTAATATTACGGATCCAAACATGCACTTAATTAAATGCATGTCTCCGCAGACATAATTAAGAGTAATTTTGACATTTTAGATGTTTTAATGGCTGTTAACCTTGAATCCAAACATGCAAATAGTTTTATGTGCAACTGTGTGTGTAATGGTTCGAGAATGATAGAATTCTCAGTGAGGAGTCTCCAAAATCTCCTAAAACGTGAATATAATTCTTAATACATGTAACCTATATGATATATATGGAACGCTTCCAACCTTATGTTTATTTAAAAAATAATAATTTATTCTTAAACAATTCATCCGAGCCTAGTCATTCTGAAATTAATTTTTTTCTTTTATTAAATTTTTCTAAGCCTCAACTTGATGATTTAGAGTTACATGATATTTGACTCGTTCAAATTAGCTCTTTGCTCAACAAGCTGAGAAAAAAAAATTAAATCAATTTGAGGTCACTAAAAATAATATTTTAAGTTTGATAAAATTTATTTTTTTAGTCTCAATTGATCAGGTTAAAAAAATATTTTAATTTTAAAATTTACAATTTACAATTTACAATTTTTTTAACAATTTTAAATTAGTCTGATTGAAAGAACTTATTTTGCCAACTCTATAATAATCGGAGTTAGTACAAAATAAAGTATTTTGATAATTTTAAACAAATATTAAACAAGTTTCCATTATGAAACAAAAATTAGATCTTATTTATCTTCCTCATTCATTTACAACTAGGTGAGGCGGAAATAATCATTATGGAGCCATGATTAATGTGAAACCATGTGCATAACGGACTAAGAATTATGGAATTCTTCATGATCAGTGTCTAAATCTCTTTGAACCTGAATATGAGCCTTAATAAATGAAACCTATATAATGAGTCCAAAATATTCACGATAATTCAATGATTTTAATCTATCTTTTGCTTGTCCCATGTCGGTAAGTAACGTGGTATTGAATCAAGATACATAAAAAGAGCAGCATTCTATTCTTCATCTCCTCCCACCAGCTCTTAGTTCTAAAAATAAAAACAAAAAATTTTCTAAGTTACAAAGGTATTTACCAGACTTTTGCAGTAGAAAATAAACTATGTCTTTCTAAAAAGAAATAAATCTAAAAGATTGGTAGTATAGACAAATCTTTTGACTAAAATTAAAGAGAATCCTAAGTTTCGATATCTTGATAATTAAGCATAAATCTTTAAAAATATCTAAGTCTTAAAATTTTGTCAAAAGAACTTTTTTTTGACATGTTTCTATGAAAACTAGCTAAAGAGCCCCATTCTTTGTTGAAAAGAAGACTACATTTCGAAGTGTTTTGAAGGTCTTGAAAATAGTCTTATTCTTTGTTGAAAAAAAGACTACACGTCAAGAAGTTTTGAAGGATCCTAAGCAAAACTTTAACTTTTGTCCAAAAGAGGGTCACCTCTTTGAGGAGTTTTTGGGATTTTCAAGTCCCAGATTGAAAACAGTCAAAATTTACCGAAAAAAGAAATTAACAAGAGAAATTATTTTAAGTTTATAAAACAAAATGAATCTCACAGATTTTTCTTGAAACTTGTCAAAAAAATAATCGACAAAGAAAATTATTCTAAGTCTCCGAGACAAGATGGAGCTCACTCATTTTCTTTAAAACTTGTCAAAAAAAGAATCGACAAAAAAATTATTCTAAATCTACGAGACAAGATATAGCTCACTAATTTTTTCTAAAACTTGTCAAAAATAGAATTAACAAGAAAAATTGTTCTAAGTCTACGAGACATGATGGAACTCAAATTTTCCTTAAAACTTGTTGAAATAGAAATTCATGAGAGAAATTATTTTAAGTACACAAAACAAATTGGAGCTCACAGATTTCTCCTAAAAGTTGTCGAAATAAAAATTAACAAAGAAATTATTCTTAAGTCTAATAGTCAGGGTAAAGCTCAAAGGTGAAGAAACACATCGAAGGACAAAGTTATACGGCTTGAAGCTACTCCCAAAACAGCAGTTACCACCTAGTTGAAGGACAGAGACACTGATTATAGGCGACACGATTATAGAAAAGGCACGATTATAAGCACGATTATGAGTGGTTGAAAATAATTGGCGACAACGATTGAAGGCAAGTAAGTGAGAAGCAATTATCAAGAGACCCATGAAAGGAGGATAGAGATTGAGATGCATTGCCTATAAATAGTACTATTTGGGGTAAGAAAAATTTTCTAAGTTATAAAATCCCCTACAAGACTTTCGTGGTAGGAAATAGACTATGTTCTTTCAAGGAGAAATACACCTCAAAGTTCAATAGCGTGAACATAACCTTTGACTAAAAAATCAAAGGATTTTAGGCTTTCACACTTTGATAAACCATGGACTTGTAAAATTATCTAAGTCCTAAAATCTTGTTGGAGGATCCACTTTTCGAGGAGTTTTGGAAGGTCTAGAAAAGAGTCTTTCCATGCTAAAAAAATTGCATTTCTAAGTAATTTTTGAGGGATTATGAAAAGAGCCTCATCCTTCATCAAGAAAGACACCATATTTTGAATAATTTTGAAGGGTTATAAGAAAACTCATTCTTTGTCGAAGTGGATAGCCTTTCAAGGAGATTTGGAGAATCGCAAAACCTCTTCAAGAAGGTCATATTTCGAGCAATTTTGATAGAACATGAAGAGACCCATTTTTGGTTGAAAATGGGACCAACAAGAAAATTATTCTAAGTTCATAAGACTGAAGGCTTTTTTTTTAGGGGTTTCTGAGGATTTTCTAGTTCTTGGACTGAAAATAACCAAAACTGGTAAAAAAAAAAAAAAGACTAACAAGGAAAATATTATAAGTCCACAAGACTGAAGATTTTTTGAAAAGTTTTTGAGGATTTTCAAGTCCCTAACACCCAGAATTGGTTGAAAAACAGGAACTGACAAGGAAAATATTCTAAAAAGTCTATAAAACTAAGTGAGATTCTAGACTTCTCTCAGAATTACTCAAAAAATAAGAATTGATGAAGAAATTATTCTAAATCTATGAGACTGAATGAGCTCTCAGATTTCTCTTGTCAAAAAATAGAAACTGAGGAAGAAATTATTCTAAGTCCACAAGACTGAATGAACTCCTAGATTTCCCTCAAAATTGCTCAAAAAATAGAAAATCACAAGGAAAATATTCCAAGTCTACAAGAGACATGATAGGGCTAAAAGAGTGATATAAAAAAAATTACAAGGCTCAAAGTCGTCATTAGCGGATACTAGCGATTATCATCATTTGAAGGCTCAAGACACGAAGAAAGATTATAAGCGGTAGCAATTATGAAACAAGCGACAACCATCAGCATGATCAGAAGCAGTCGTGGATAATAGGCAGCAGCAGTTGAAGACAAACATGTATAAAAGGCGGTTACTAAGAAGTACCCGTGAAAAGATAAGAATGGTGACGGTCCATCTGCCTATAAATACTACAAAGCTTCATTTTTTAAATGATGACTTTTTGCACCCAAATACTATACTCAAACTCTCTGCACTCTGAAAATCTGTACCGCGTCAGACACCAGTTACCAAGAGACTCATAATGATTGATATTCGTTGTTACTATGAGTCGTACGTTATTTTCTTGCACATTCACATTTGTGTTCTTTATTTTCAGTTTGTTCTACGTTTATTTCTTGCAATTTTAGTCTTATTCAATACGTTGGTGTAAACTTTTTACATTCAGTTAAATACTTTATCATCATTTAGTTATTATTTTTGTTTTGTTATTTGCTTTGCGATGTCTCATTCGTTATCATGTTAACAACATGTTTAAAAGAACCTAAAAAGACCTAAAATCCAGTTCCCAAATTTTTTTTGGATTTATTTGTTTATAGCCTGTAAATTTTTTACTGTAAACAAGTATCAAGCTTTATATTATGGAGGATGACTTTTTGCATCATACACTTATATTCAGATTTTCTATACGTTAAAATTCTACACCAAACTAAACACTAGTTACCAAAGAATTTACTGCCCTTATTGTTATTTGCTTAGAGTCGTACGTTTACATTTTGCATTTCATTTCCTATATTTTGATTTACTTTCAGTTTGTTTTCTGCATTCCCTTATATTTGGTTTAATATTGCATTCAGTTTTGTATTTATTTCACTACTCTTCTATTCTTCTTGTCTATTCCTATGCTTTACACGTTAATTTAAATTGTTATATTAAGAATACACTTAAAAGAATTTAAGAGGTCTAAAATTTAGTTTAGATTATTTTTGAATTTATTTATTTATTGCCCATAAATTTTCACTGTAAATCATGTCACACATTAAAACTTATAAAGCAAAAACTTTCGTATTTCATTTTTTAGTAATGTATAAAAGGAAGAAACCACGCCCTCTCATCCTATCCATCCCTTCACTTGCAAAATACTTGCTAACGAATAACCATCATCACAGAGTTTTAAGTTAGTTTATAATTTATGATAATGTCTCATATAATCTTTTCTTTTCACAGACAAAGGAAAATAAAACAACTGAAAGAACAAAGAAGATAATTTAGCACTAGGAGCTCGATCCATGGGAGCATCAAGGTACCAAAGCACTGAAAAAAATACTATTTTCTTAACAAAGCTATCAAATAAATCTAAAAAAGGAGTTAATTTCGACTTATAAATACTAACAGTTGTATTATATCGGTTAATCTTTAATAGTCTGAATATAAAGTAAACTATATTAACTTTTCATGTAATAACTAGCTTATAGGGATGAAATATTTGATACATTAATTTTTACTATATTTATGACATTTTAATTTTTTCACTTTAAATAAAATAAACAAATAATCTATTTAAGCCTAAAATTATATTTTGAACATAGAAATAAAAATAATGGGAAAGCTCAAATATAATAAGAATTGGTGACATTATATTCTAGTAAAAAAATAGGCATATAAAATATAACAGCATACTAAGATAAAGTCAATTTTAAAATTGAAGGTCAGATGTAGTTACCAATATAAAATGTAACACTAGATTAATTTTAATTATAAAATAATGCTACTAATATATTTTTTACTAAATCAAAGTATTGTCCCTGAAAAAACCTTAATTTGTAACGGCGGTGGTTCTTTGTGGAGGTTCATATTTTGGGCTGGAGCCTGTTATTTCACTGGGCTAGACCCGTTTTAGTTCGCCCCGGCCTTTTTTTCTCTCCTCTTTTAAGTTATTTTTGGGTTATTGACAATTCAAATAAAATCAAAAGCACCCAAATTTCCTTACCATGTCGGAAGCAAAAGGAATGGTGTCTTGGGAATTAGAATGGCTCTCCTCGGATCAAACATAACAGGCGAGGTTCGCATCTATTTTATTTCTTATATGCTTTTCGCCATTATTTTTTTTTTCTTGAGCTAGGGTTTTGATTCTGCGTCCCACTGTTTTCTTTTGGTTACAATCGAGTTCTTAGTTTGTACGGCATCGCCGAATTCTACGTTTCCATCACTTCTTTAGTCTTGATTGCAATTGACACACGTTTTATTGCTTGATAATATCAAATAATTTGGAGATGTATGATTAGCCATTCAAATTATCGTATCATGATCCCACTGAATTCTTTCTGTCATATCTGCTTATATTGATGTGTGAGCTATTTGGTGCAGGTTGGACTCCGTTTGCTTCTTTGTCCTCTTGGTTCCAACGTTGTAATTCGAACAGCATGGTAGCATATTTTCATTTCATTATTACAGTTATGATTTTTAAGGTGGTTTTGTTTTTGTTGTTAAAATTGTTATTTAACATATAAGCTTGTGTTTTTTAAGCTGTACTGTGGGAATTGCTTTGCCTGTGTACTCTACGTTCAAGGCAATTGAAAATAAAGATGAAAATGCTCAACATAGGTGTCTTCTCTATTGGGCAGGTACGGATTTTGCTACCTTTTTCAATTTCTTTTGATTTATTTTTACTGAGATAGATGAAAAAGAAAAAATATGCTAAATGACTTCATGGTTTGATTGATGGTGTGACTATCTGACATGGCTATAATGAACCCATGTATCTGTTTTTTGGGGAGAACCTATCTGGTGTTTTCTATATTTCCCATGGCAGGAAAGGTTTACCGCGGTTTTTGGCTTTTAAAATTTACAATATAAAAGTAAGAAACATACAAAATGATATGAACGGCATGATGAACTCTAGTTAGCTTCTACACCTAATCAACATTCTGACATCATATTATGTAGTATAATCGTGCATTTTTCCCTGCTTGACGGGAATTAAGCAAGTTGGGAGCCATTTCAGGAAATTCTTGCTTAGCAGGATGATGAGATGTATGTAAGCTGGCCAAATTATGATTTACACATTATGTTGACAATTGTTTTAGATGGACTTGATGTCGGCAAATTATAATATTTGTTTGATGGAGTTTATGATTTATTCCTTCCAGTAATCCAGTTATGTTACATTTGCCTCCTAGAGATATTAACAGAATTTTATCCACCCATCCTGTCCTTATTTATGCATCGTTCTGTTCTCCAGACTGCATGTCATTTGACTAGCTGTTGAGAAACAGTTGTTTGGCATCTTTAAGTTGTTACAAGGATGAAGGAACCAAATATGGGCTCAACATACTAATTGATTTATCATATATGATAGCACACCATGTCTTATTCTGATATCTGATAACAAGACCCACCCACCAGCACACAAATATGATACACAATTTGAATCTCTTTGCATTACCATGTCTTAACATAACGAATATTGTATTATATTAATTATGAATTTTTCTCTTCATCTTTGGTTTTTGCAGCCTACGGCTCATTCAGCCTTGTTGAAGTACTCACAGACAAGCTTATTTCTTGGTATAGTTTGATCACATCCTAATCCGTTAATTTGGTTGTATAGGTCTCTTTGATTTTCAAAGGTTTTCCTTTCTCTCTCTCTCTCAATATGTGATATACTACCTCTTGTTAACAGGATTCTCTCTCTCCATCTTTGGTTGTTTTTATTATGGCTGTCAGTATTCTTCATCTGGATTATGAGTTTTGCAAGACTATAATAATAAACTAAATCACTTGTAATTTTAATTATTTTTGCAGGTGTCCTATATACTATCACCTGAAGTTTGCATTTCTTGTTTGGCTTCAACTTCCACCTACAAGTGTGAGTTTGATAGAGTCAGAATTAGGTTGACTCTATAATGTTGTTTTTGACCCATCTGTAACTGATTTTTTTTTTTTTTTGTTTCTATCTTATGCCCCATCCTTGAGCTGTTTCCTTCTTCATTCCTTTTTGTTTTGCTATGATTTGGTTATTGTATTTTCGTAGTTCAAACAAATATGCAGTTTTAGTAAGTGTATTAATTTCCTTGCCATCATTTCTTCTTCTTGCCATTTGTCTTTTTTTTTTCTAGGAAAATGAGAGCATTATGATTTGGAAACTGCTATTTATGGATAACAGTTAGGGAGACAGAGAGACCAGCTAATATGCTAAACCATTGAATTGCATGTAGAGTTGTGGTGAATGTGTGAATGTTGGAACAAGTGAAAAGCTGAAAACTTTTTGAATACCTTTATGATTTACTGCTAAGAGCTGCGCTTGTTGACGCTCACAGAGCTGTATAATTAGTAACATTTTTAGACCACAGAAGACGAACGTGATCTTGCAATATTCTTGTAGTCGTAAGTTGATTCCCTGATCTGGAATATTTTGTCTCTTGTGATTCTCTGAGGAATTTCCCCTTTTTAATTTTTTCAATTCTCCATCTTCCTATTTTGCATTTTCTTCCTGTTATTTACATCACTGTATTCTTCTGTGTTTAATACATTTTATGGTTGACAATTTGTCTCTTCAATACCTGAACTCGGTTTTATTATTTTGCTGATAAACTACTACCGTTCAAACAGGGAGCAAAACAGTTATATGTTAACCACTTGCGCCCCCTCTTGTTGAGGCATCAAGCACGAATTGATCAAGTCTTAGGTCTTGCATACTGTGAAGTGGTGTGTCTCAGATCCATACAGTGCATTTTAACTCTATTTTGAAGAATTTATGATCCCGTTGAAGTTCGAGAAATCCAGGGATAACTTTGTAGCTTGTTTACATTCCAAATATCAAATTGATTCGTGTTAATCTGTCAAGAGCTGGCAAAAGAGGAACCTTTTGTAAACAACTGTATTTAACCGTGAAATTTGACTTATCAATGCAGATCAAACTTGTGAGCTCATATCAAACAGAGATCCAGTTTGTCAGGAACATGGTAGTAAAGATAACCGGATCAGGTGAAACATCACGTTTCGGTCCTTTGCAATTGCTATTGCTCTTTTTGTATATTACTAAACTGCAAATTGAATTTCTTTGTGGATCAGCGGATCAAATGTTGAGAGGCGCCACTGAATCAGATAGATCGCAGCAACATAGCTCAACTGAGGATCCTGCGGTGCCCTTTGATTCTGAGCCCGACCCAAGCAACAATGGCTAATCAACCAGAAGTACTTAGTGGACTGAGACCCATGAATTGATGAGTGCTGTCCCCAAGAGTTCCCGTTAAGCGTGGAATATAAGAGACTGGACTACTATTATTTTTCCCAAATGTTCTTGATATCCTTTTTCATTGAAGAGACCCGAAGTTTTCTCTTGATAGGATGTGTAGTAGATAAAACTTCTTGAGTCAAAATTTATATTGGTCTTTTAGGTCGTACGGATCATTTAAGTCTTAAATTTTGAACATTTTTTAGCCCTCGATTGTATAAAATGAAATTTACTTTATTTTTTAAAAATAAAATGACAAAAATTTAAAATAACAGTGTGTTAAAATATTTTTATATTGTTCAAGACTTACCAAAAAAATTTTAAAGAACTAAAATATAAGATTCATATAATTTTGAGGGCTATTTTAAGAATTTACTTATAATTTTTTTTTTTATTTTGTATATATCCTATTAATGATGAACTTCTATTTCCTCGTTATTCAAATATAGAAGTTTAAATTATCATCCTTACATCGGTTAATCATTACTATTTTATTTTAGCAAATGCTAATAATTTCTTTTAAGGAAATATTTCGTGTTAGAGTCTTTTGATATTATCTTATTATAAATATTATATTCGTATCGTACAGGAATTACCCTTAAAATGAAAGGTTAGAATTTCTTTATAAAAGCGTATAATTTGTGTTAAAACATATTTTTCGCTTCCAAAATCATTTATGTAAGTTTATAGGTTACAAAAGGACAACTTTTTTTATCACAAGTTAATTTCGAATTATTTTCTTTCGTCTTGTTTTTTTTTCTTTTGCTATTATTTTCTTTTGTTAAAACAAAGTCATTATTAAACTAGTTATTGCACTGATATACAAATTACAATTTAAATTTTAATACAGTTAGAAATATAATTTTGACATTATATTACGTACTAATTAATAAACTAACAAAATTAATCATAATGAATTCAACTCGATAATCGCCTTAGTCAAATTATTTACTTACTAGTTCAATAATGAACTTGTCTAACCATATATAATAATAACCTCATAATTTACATATATTTATAATCCATTGAATGATATTATGAGAATTAAATGAAAATCAATAAAAATTACAAAATTAATGACTTCAATATAAATCGGTAGTATATCCACGCGGTTCCACAGTTACCTCTTACAAGATGCTAGAAAAATTAAAGTAGCATCTTAACATGAGTTGAGAAACCAAACCCTAAAAAAAAGTCTCCATCGACCTGAAATTATATGTTCATCTCACTTGTAAATACTAAAACGAAGGACGTTATTTATTTTTTTCAACACATAGGCCAAAGTTGTTTACTATGACCTACACAAAAAATCTGCCCAATAATAGTGTTGAAAAAAAATATGTTCCTAGCATATTTCTTAAAATAATAAAAGGATATAAGGGGAATTACAATTGAGGATTAATGGTATAAATAGTAAACCAAAAAAAAAAATTCCTATTCTCAATTTAGCCATTGATAAAATTCCAACTGCAAATTCGTCTCTTTTACTAGTTGATCAATATTTGTGGTTGCCTTTGGCATGATAATAAGAAGCTGATTTATTCGAGGCTAGCAACTGCTTCTGGCCCACCCAACCGCTCTAACTCTTCCTGTAGAAGACGATTATCGTCCGTCAGATGATACAATTTGAGTTCGAAACAACACAGCCTAGACTTTGCATTGCGTAGTCAAGCGCTAATGCGTCTGAAAGCATAATGATCTGGATCCGGGAAATTACCTTGATAGAATTGTTTTCGGATATAATTTTCTTGCATTCTTCAGATACTCTCTGAAGCTCTTCTTTCAGAGTTCGATTCTCACTTCCCAGAGACTCCACCCTCTTTTGTAACTCTTCACACTCAGCCTGGGTGGAACAAGAAATGTAAAACACATGTTGTAAAATGGTAGCATTAAATATGATCAAGCAAAGATGGCTTAGTCTCGCACTTAAACAAGGAAGCATGAAGTAGAATTTCCAAGTACCTGCTTGCGTAGTCTTGACCTCCTAGCTGACTCTCTATTAGACTGTTTCCTCTTCTGTCTTTTCAGCTCACGTTCGTCCTAAAAAAAGGATTGGGGAAGGTAATCGGAAATTAAAGGAACTAAAAGAGTGGAAAGTTGCAACATAACAATGAACACGTCAATGGGAAATACAAGGTATCACCAAAACGAAAATATCCATGATGTCGATTAAAGTAAGCATGAAGATGATAAATGTTAACTATGAAAAAGAGTAGTCATGCTGAGAACAAATTTTAAGGAAAATGAGTCCGGGAACCATACTTGTATCCACTGTTCACCAAGTGCAACTTCTCGTCCCATTATGGTTGGAGGTGTAACGGCTCCCGAGGCAGCAGATTGATTGTGTCTCACTTTTGCGCCTTCGGCGCTAGCAGGAGATGCATTCCACAAGTCCATTCCAATATTAAGATTAGTTGCAGACATTGACACAACAGACTTTCCAGGTATTGAAGATTGAGAAATGGCAGCGACAGAATTGTTCCGTGCATTGGCCCCTGAACAGGTTCACACAAACACAAAATTGTTTGAGTAACCAAGTAAAAGAAAGATTATCATGAAGAAGGTCCCAGCATACCATCAACAAGCATTTGGTCAAAACTCCCCTTCTTGTTTGTCCCGGATTCCTACATGGAAATACAACTCACGAGTGATTGCAGGAAATAGGAAGGCAAAAAGATCGATATGCTTCCAATTAAACAAGCTCAATTGAGACTTTTACTTAAAAAAATTAAAGCAAAAGAAAGGGCCAAGCGTAAAATATGAATGGCCAAGGAGATTTAAGGAAGGATATTAATATTTAGTAATTTACTTTAAACTACTAAGAGCACAAATACTGGTGCTAAACAGCAATATACCTGTTGGTTAGTATTCTCATCACTACCATCTGATGATCCCTCTGAACCACTATCAGCACTGATGATGAAATTTTGTAAAAGGTGGATATTAAGGAAGCCAAAGGGGAAAGAACTTAAAAAAAGATCTAAAATTGACTAGTTGTTTGCCAGACCTTTGTGAGAGGCCATCATTTCCAGACCCTGAGCCTGCCTTTCCATTGTCTCCTGCCTTGGAAACAGTATTTGCAGGCATTCCCTTTGAACTTTTGGTAGAAACCCGATCTTTTCCCTCAGGCCCCTTGCCTACAGACCTTGTACCATGCTGTGTGATGCTTGGAGTCTACCATACAATTAAAAAGACAAAAAGAACAACAAAGATTATAAATGGAATGCCAAACTCTAACAGACCTATTAAAGTTGCTTAGCAACATGTGAATTCATCTTGTATAAGCAAACATTACAGAGAATTCACATTTTGCTGCCCAGTGGTTGAAGGGAACAGGGATTAGAGTAATTGAGATACCGTTGCCATGCTAGGATGAGCATAGACACTCCCAGGAGGATATATAGCTGGATATGGAACAGGAGTACCATATGGTGGAATTAAAGGATGCTGAAAAAATTAGAAAAAAATAATCTCAATGAGAATTTTCTCTGCCAGTGTTTGCTAATATATTTTACCAATGAAATATTTTATTGACCTGGCTTCCCCACAAATAAGGATGGGGAGTTGGGGAAGCAACAGTTGAGGCAAAAAAAGGAGGCGGAGTGGCTCCAGGAGCATAATAAGCCTAAATAAGAAGGTGACATTAGATACTAAAATTTTTTATCTGTTGAAGAGTTTTTACAAATACAAAAGTATGATTAAAAAGTCTGTATCACATTTTCCACCAACCTGCATGGAGCCAGACCAATCAGGATATGAAGGTGCCAACGGTATCTACAGTTAATATTTAACAGAAATGATAAGGACACAAAAGGACCAGAAGAATTAAAATATCAAGAGAGATAGGAACCTGTGTTGAAGAAGTAGAAGATGGTTTGGAAGGTTTAGCTGTGCTTTCTTCACCAGTTCCCATCCAGATCAGCTCAGAAAAACTGCCTTGTAATCAGCTGAAGTTCCGATAACTGTTTAAGTCATTATATCACCTTGAACAAGCACACATCAAACAACTCAGCAAAAATAGAAATAAAAAATTACGTCACTAATAGCATTCAGGTTAATTATCATCAACCCTCAAATATAATCAAAAGTAGAAAGTAAATGAGTTTAACAGATCATTTTGAGCTATTTACTCTCATGAAATATGAGTTATTAAAAACTTCTTTTATAGCCAAATAAATTAATATCATCAAGGAAGGTGAAAAACTGACCCTTCTCTTGAAGATATTTGAATTGAGGATCTATCCAGTCTCACTAACCGGTCCTTCCCTCTACTCTAATATCTCTAGATAAAATCCAAGCAATAACTCTTAATTGGATTGACACTCTTGGTCTTAAGATGAATTGGCTTACTTCAAAAACAAGGGTCGGCAGATTCCCCAAACAAAAAACACATTGAGTGATTGAATTTGAGAATTCAACTTAATTATTGTTTGGGATTGCAGTTGAATGGTCAAACACATTTCAACTTTATCTACCAAAAAATTCGTGAAGGAATTTTTTAACAGAGTGAGTTTTCAACCTCAAATTATTAAGATGAAGCATTCCAACAATTCTGGGTTCCGTAGTTTTGATTTAAAGAATTCTCTATAATATAACTTGTAATATTTAGCCTCACTAGAAGTAAGTCTCCATATATAATCGTTGATTAGCTAATGGACAAGAGATAATAGCTTATCCATCAGCTATATATTATCATCCAACACACGAGATGTTTAGAATCCAATTCACAAAAGGATAGCATGAAAAAGACAAGGAGACACAATATATATATATATATATATATATATATAAAGTTTTTCCTTAGTTACAGATGTCAATATATGGATGTTTGTATTCACACATACAAATGCAATTGCCAGTGATGCAAATTTTGGTTTATAGTTTATTGTATCTCACTTTAGAACTGAATATACTGTTATTATTTATCAGAACAATCGTGCTTTAAGTCATCCTATGCGAGGTATGTTCTAATGAGGTCTGCAATTGTAATGCTAGCTTTGAGATTCTTACCTTGCTCAATATAATGATTGAAATATGGATTATGTAAGGGGAATTTCTATGACACCTCTATTTAATCATCACCTACTCTCATCGGCATCACATATTTTATATTTTAACTTGTTTATGAAAAAAGATGTAAGATTAAATGTATTTGAAAAAAAAAAAAAAAAAAAAAAACTCAACACATTGCGAGTATTGAAATGTACTTGGCTTAACGTATACTCTCTCATATTTAGTTCAACTTACAAGAGACATTTTATTGCTTTAGTCAACAGAAAATTATATTGACTATTCACAAGAATCTCTCATGAGTTCAGATGAAAAATCCAAAGATTTAAAATACTTTAACTTAGGTGCATCACCCTCTAGAGTACAATACAAAACTCCAGGCACTCGCTATGTACCTACTTTGAGGTAGCATATGCGCCGAATTAATAGGAATGAGACGCCCTACCTATCTTGACCTTATCCTGCTGTAACGCTGTTACTATTTTTGTACCATTGTAAATTCCTTCCTTGAAGAATATTATTCACACTCTTTTCAGACTTTTTCAACGCGTGTTTAATGTTGGACTATGTCCCGCACTTATCTTATAAACTGACCTTTTTTCTTTCATTTTAATTATTGAACAGACGGATGACCCGCAACCTATTAATAAAGTATTGTTAAAGAGAGTATTATAAAGAGTATGGTAGTAGTATATTAGTATTTCTCATCTTTCTATAGGTGCACCAGTTCTGTTTGTTTGTCTTCCCTCCTACACCTTATCAAACGAATCTAAAAAGTAATTTTTTCCGCAATTTTTACGCCTTCTTATATCCGTAATGAAATATTATTCATTACGGTTTTTCTTTTAAATCACGACTAGATCAGGAAAAACAAACAAATCCTATTTTAGACTCCTTACTTCAAAAACAAGTCGTGGTGAATTGGCAATAAATTGAGAATTGCAGCAAACGTAATAAGAACTACGAGATTCTATCGAAAAATCATTCAACGAAGTATACTTTATTTTTATTTTTTTTTCCCGCTTATTCTCGCGCAGGGAGAATTAAAAAAAAAAATTAAGGAATAGAATCAATAATTAACACACGGCAGCTAAGAAATTAAACAGCAAGCAGCGCAAAATCAGGAAGACCAAAAGATCACATTATAGAAAAATTAGAATTCTCTGAGAGAGCAGAACAGAGTTTGACTTGAATCAAACAAGGAAAAGAAAGCAGGGAACGTTCAAAAACCGAAACAAAAGTCGAAAAGGCTTGAGATCCCGAAATGAAAACAAAATCACAGCTACAAATGAAGAGAACGAATTAAGCGAAGCGCAACGCTAAAACATGACTATGACAGAAATATAAATAATAATTTGCAGGAAAATAAGGAGAGAGAAAGAGAGAGTGACCTGTTTCCATGGCGCAAAGAAAGGGGCTTAAAACGGTGAGGTGGAAGTCCAACTGGACGATTTTAAGGCTATAATAATACTGTGTGGGTTTTGTTTTGTTGCGAGGAGCCAAAGAGGTTTCTGTTTTTGGGGTCTTGTTTGGTATAATATATCAAACAAAGACTGCAGAAGAGAGAGAGAGAGAGTGGCAAAGTTTGTGTGAGTGGTGAAGTGAAACTGAAGTGGGAGGAGAAACGAGTGGGGGTTGGTTGGGTTTAGGGCTTTGGGGGCGACACGTGCGATAAAGGTGTTATCACCTGTCCATGTCTTATTGGATTAGGTTTGGCACATCTCAACTATGTGCGTTTGAATTGATGAATGATGGTGGATAGGATAACTTTATTTATTTATTTCCATGTTTTTCATTATCACTTTATTATTATTATTATTGGTTTGATTTGGCATGTGGCAATGGATGCCATGACAGTTGCCACACACTCTACTTTTGTCCGGTACTTTGCCTCCGGTTTCCACTCGTTGTCTGTGGTGTCGGCCGCACACTCGAGAAAATGCTCCCCGTATCAACCACCAAATATTACTCACTTTCTCGGACTTTTTATTTAAATAATATATTTTTAAAAATAATTTTTTAAATTAATTTTTTCTTAAAACTAATACCTTTATTTTATATTTTTTTAAAAATTAACAGCAGTATTTTTTATGTATAAATAATAATAAATTTTTATTATTATTTTAATAAATTATCGTTTCAAAATATTTAATATTATATCAAAAACTGACATATATGTATATTAAATAAGATGAAACAATTATAAATTTTTATTATTATTATTTTAATAAGTTATCTTCACATAATATTTAATACTTATATTTTTTATTATTATTTTAATATCATCACAAAGTAGTCGATACTTATATTTTTTATTATTGTTTTAAAAAACTTTCCTCTAGCAATATTTAATACTCTTACTATCCTGCATAAGCATAAAAACAGCGTGTTTTGGTTAGATTTGGTTCTCCTTCCTCGCATGGTTCGCATTGAACATGAGTATGGTCTCTCTCAGATAGTATTTCATCACTCCCTTCAGTTATCAGGTTTTTGTTGTTGCATTCTTTTTCAGATCTACAATTTCAAATAATTCTCATTGGTCTATTTTGCTACATTGTTTGGATCTTATTATGTTTCGAATTTATAAAAATTTGAAAATTCTTTAGTGTATGATTTCGAGGTGCTCCATAAGATTATAAATTTGGTAATAAGTATTTTCAGTTCAATTTCCTGTAAATGGAAGCATCCTATGAATTTGTTTTTGTTTGGAATAGATGAGTAATGTGATAGGCATAGGGTTGGATTTGTTTGCAATGCAAGGAAATGGGTTTGTGGACTTTACTTGAGGGATTTCTGCTTCTTGCAAATGCGTTTGCAATATTGAATGAGGATCGGTTTCTTGCACCAAGAGGATGGGGCATCACTCACATCATTCAATGCCTCATTCATTTCCTTTTTTTCAAATTCAAACCAATTTCACCTCTCTTATTTATTCATTATTACTCTCAAAATGTAATTATAATTAAATAAGACAAACAAAAATGTTGCTGATACACTTATAAAACATCTATACGATGAGAATATTATATATTTTTAGATAATAATTTTTTAAAATAATAAAAAAATAACAAATATCAAATACTGTGTGACAATAATTTATTAAAATAATAAAAAAAAGCAAGTATCGAATATTGTGTAACAATAATTTATTAAAATAATAATAATAATAAGTTATTATCAATTCATTTCATTTGATATATATATGATTACGATATATGTCAGTCTTTGGTGATATAATATCGGACATATTGAGACCATATCTTATTAAAATAATAATAATAAATTACTATCGTGTATGTATAAATGATATCACTACTGACTTAGAAAAAAAATATTAGAAAGAGAATTAATTTAAAAAAATTATTTTTAAAAACATATTATTTAAATAAAAAAGTTTACTTTCTCTTATCTTTTCTCTTAAGAAATATTAATTATCCTCTTGATTTTTATTTGCCTTATCTGGACCGCACCTTTTAGTACTTGGAAGTTCACGAAAACATTACTAAACAAAATAGACATAAAAAAAAGTAGACATAAATATATTTTCAAAAAAAAGAAGACATAAATAAATACCACAATATCTTTATTCAAATATTTATAGATAACACGGTTATTGAAGTGAAGAAAAATAAATTTAAATTATAACAAAGAAATTTTTTAATTATTATACCAATATCATAGTGTAATAATTTATTTTAATTTCTTTAATTAAAGAAGAAGAATTTTTTTTCTTATAAATCAAAACTACCCACATGGTGATATGTATAATTTTTTTATAAATTATAAAAAAATTAATACATAATAATGTGATTAATCAAATTAAGTAGTTTCAGAGCTCCGAATAAGTTTTTTCTGAGAGTTTTTCATCTCGTTTTTTCAATTAAAAAATGTCCCACAACAAATATCGCCGACATTGTCGTATACCTGTTTGTGATCATTGCTTAATTTATATATAGGTTTTTCGTATTGGTTAATCATATGTAGTCCTGCACACCGATTACGCATTCTCATTATTGTGATCGTTTATTGTTGCTCAATCACTTTCAATCTCATCCCCGTAAGGCCTGGTCTCACCAGTAGATCAGTTTCAAAATGATTCATCGGTAGATCATGTAGACGTTAACATTAAATCTATTAATTCATCGAGATTCATCGCCTGCAACTTTTTGCTAGTTTTTGCTTTTAAGTGGTGTATTTGAGTTTTTTTTTTTTTTTTAATTATGACTTAATTGACTTTTGTGGGAATGATCATCGGTGGTTTTTAGCTTTTCGTACAGTTTAAATTACGTTGGGAGAGGATATTATTCCAATAAACCCTCAAATTAATAAGAATTTAGATCAAGGCAAGTTAATGTGCTTAAGGTCTAATGCTCTTTTTCTTATATAAATATGATTTTTTAAAATATTTTAAATATTAGAAGATACATTATTAAATTGATATCAGCGGATTTACTGAATTAGATTCGACTGTCTTCTAAAATATTATTTATCTAAAAATTAGATAAATAGACCTCTCATTAATTTTGGATTTATTGCGATATTTACGCTAATTGACTGATTAATATGGATATGAGGTAATCTTAATCAAGGGCCAAGACAGCCACGGGCTTGCCCACGCTAGTAATGCATAACTCTTAGGATTTGGTTAAGTTATGTTAGGGATAGTAACTTGATCGTACTGATCGCAATTAAATACACTGGTCTCAAATTAGTTGTCCCCTGCTTCAATGTTGTTGTATTATCAACGTGATTCATGAATGGGAGAGTGAGGCCTGTTGCTCTGAATTTCAGGGTATGACAGAACCAGAGTGAATTACTCATTGACCTCAAATGAGGTGGCAACTAATATTTTATATTGAGATAGTATCAATCAATGTATAATTAGAATATTAGGTTCTGATTGTAACGTGTTCTGATTTTTTTATAACAAAAGAAATGATGAAATCACATAATTTATAGGTTTGTGTTTTTGGATTATTTTTTTTTTCTTCACATGAAACTTCAATGGATGATTTGTGTTGATTGATGTGTCTGGCATGAAAGGTATTGTGCGTTGCCGCAATTTTTGAAGAAAAGAGAGTTTTAATGGTCTGAGGGATGGCAGGGGTGCATGTGGCGCATGACTATGAAAATGGTGGAGGACACTTTTTTTTTTCCTGGTTTGAGAACCTTTTCTTTTAGAGTGAATGAAAAAATTAAAAAAATTGCTTAATATTTTAAATAATATGATAAAAAAAAGATAAATAAATTTTAAATTGTTGTACGAGGGTTTTAAAGTATAAATAATCAAATAAACAACAGTTTACAAAATCAATGAATATGTACACTTTGTAAGGTCAAAGATAGGATTATATATTGTTGGATTAGGCTTTCGCTATGATTCATGTACCAGGTTACTACGATTGTGTTACGTCATTATATTCACATGAAACTTTGAAGGTAATAGGTGGAATATTACCCTTTATGTACTAATCACGTTTTTTAGTATTAAATAATGTGGGATTAACTCAACATACATGTTATTGATAAAATAAATTATAATACATTAAAAATAAATAATAAGTATTTTTGTTTTAAAAATTCTGAAAAGTTATAAACAACCCTGAACTTGTCATCGTATAATGTTCGCCATCGCCAGTAACTACTGTGATTTCTTTTGTACTTGATGGCGACCGATGGCTGAAGTTTAGGATGGGGTTGGCTTCCGAGTTTTTGTCCATTATTTTTATCAATTAAAAAAATCATGAGAGTGTCAAATATATTCAATGTACCAGTATTACGAATAACTCTTCACTATATTTTTTCAAGTAATGCTTATGGAGCTTTTTACATATATTTAGAAACAAATATACTCTAGATATTTTGGTTTATTGTCTTGGAATATTATGAGTTTGAAGATGTAAATTTCAAGCTAAAAATTAACTTGAGCTCTTAATTTGGGACAATGACTTGAACATCATTGTTGGAGGATGGAGTGGTTAAGTTTAAGAAATTTGTGAATAGAAATGTAGGATAGATTTGAAATTGATTTTAGTTTTTCTACGACTATAATATTTTTTAAATTAAAAAAGGTATTATTTAGTCTATATTATGTTATAATTTATTTTATTAAAATTTTTATTATTCAGCGATGGTTTATTTTAACATGAGTAGATATCCTACTATTTCTAAATTCTATTAAATATCACTGACAATACTTAAAATTTCTGTTATTACGAACATAAATTTTAAAAATTAAAATTCTCTTTTAGATTAATTTTATTATAAGATAAACTAAATAGATAAGTCATATTATTTGTTGCAAGTGAAATATTATAATTTCTTAGTCGAAACGTTTTTGTAACAATTTTACCACACCAAAAATTAGAAAAACAATAACAAATTTTTATAAAGTCTCAAAATGTTTAGACATGGCTCTGTTGATACTCTCAAATAATTGTATATCTTTCTTAAATTTTAGTCATATTTTTAATCATTTATTTATTTTACGTATGTATATTTTTTTCAAATTTACTTTAATTAACCGTGCAAGGTATGAGTACTTCCTTATATAACTACGAACATAATATATATATATATATATATATATATATATATAATATGAAAATTACGTT